CCAAAAATCAATGTTGTTGTCTTTTTTTTATATAATAATAATGAATTCTCAGAAAGAGAAACAACAAACAATCCCATTTATCATTGCAACAAAACAAATTAAGATAGCCGGGACCGGTTTGGCTCAATGGATAGAGCGTTGGCTTGGGGACTGAAGGGTCCTGGGTTCTATTCCGGTCAAGGGCATATACCTTGGTTGCAGGCATATCCCCAGTAGGGGGTGTGCAAGAGGCAGCTGATAGATGACTCTCTCATCGATGTTTCTAACTCTCTATCTCTCTCCCTTCCTCTCTGTACAAAATCAATAAAAAACATATATTTTTTTTTAATTAAGATACTTAATAAACTTAACAAAGGAGGCAAAAGACCCATTCTCAGAAAATTATAGAACGTTGAAAAAAGAGATACAAGATATAAACAAGTGGAAGAATATACCATGTTCATGGATTGGTAGAATCAACATCATTAAATGTTCATACTACCCAAGGCAATCTACAGATTCAATGCAATCCCTATTAAAATACCAACAGCATACTTCACAGAGATAGAACAAACAACCCAAAAATTTATATGGAATCAAAAAAGACCCGGAATAGCTGCAACAATCTTAAGAAAAACAAAGTTGGAGTAATCACAATACCAGATTTCAAGTTATACTATAAAGCCACTGTAATCAAAACAACCTGGTACTGGCACAAGAAGAAGCATGTCAACCAATGGAACAGAATAGAGACCCCAGAAATCAACACAAGGCATTACACTCAATTAATATTTGACAAAGAAGGCAATGGAGTCAAGACAGTCTCTTCAATAGTGTTGGGAAAACTAGACAGGTACATGCAAAAAAATGAAACTAGACCACTAACTTAACCATATACAAGAATAAACTCAAAATGGATAAAAGAATTAAATATAAGTTGTAAAACCATAAAAATCCTAGAAGAAGCTATAGGCAGCAAAACCTCACACATATCTTGTAGCAATATGTTTATGGATATATCTCCTAGGGCAGTGGTCGGCAAACTGCAGCTCGAGAGCGACATGCGGCTCTTTGGCCCCTTGAGTGTGGCTCTTCCACAAAATACCACGTGTGGGTGGGCACATACAGTGCGATTGAAACTTCATGGCCCATGCGCAGAAGTCGGTTTTCAGCTCTCAAAAGAAATTTCAATCGTTGCTCTATTGACTAATGAGTTTGCTGACCACTGTCCTAGGGCAAAGACACTAAGGAGAAAATAAACAAATGGGACTACATCAAAATAAAAAGCTTCTGCACAGCAAAAGAAACCATCAACAAAATGAAAAGGAAGCCTACTATATGGGAGAACATATATAGCAATGATACATCTGATAAAGGGTTAATATCCAAAATATATAAGGAACTAATTCAGCTTAACAAAAGGAAGGCAAACAATCCAATTAAAAAATGGGCAAAGGACCATAATAGACACTTCTCCAAAGAGGACATACAGATGACCAGGAGACATATGGAAAAATGCTCAAAGTCACTGATCATCAGAGAAATGCAAATTGAAACAACAGTAAGGTATCACCTCATACCTGTCAGAATGGCTACCATCAATACATCAACAAAGACAAGTGCTGGCAAGGATGTGGGGAAAAAAGGAACCCTAGTACTGCTGGTGGGAATGCAGGTTGGTGCAACCATTATGCAAAACAATATGGAGTTTCCTCAAAAAATTAAATATGGAATTGCCTTTTGACCCAGGAATCCCACTTCTAGGAATATCCTAAGAATCCTGAAACATCAATCAGAAAGAATGTATATATACCCCTATCTTCATAGCAGCACAATTACAATAGCTAAGCTCTGGAAACAGCCCAAGTGCCCATCAGCAAATGAGTGTATTAAAAAGCTGTGCTACAGTTATATCATGGAATACTATGCAGCAGTAAAAAAAGAAGAATCTCTTACCCTTCGAGACAGCATGAAGGGACCTGGAGAATATCATGCTAAGTGAAATAAGTTAGTCAGAAAAAGATAAATGTCACATGATCTCACTCACATGTGGAATTTAAGTAACAAAATAAGCTGATGAACAGAGTGGAACCAGATACATGGAAGCATGGAACAAAGTGTAGAATCTTGGAGAGAAAACGGAGGAGGGTGAGTGGGTGGGAAGTAATCAATCAAAGACCTTGTATGCATGTATGCATATCCCAGACACAGATAATAGGGTGCTGAAGACCTGGGGTGGAGGATGGGGGGGGGGAGGGGATGGGGAAGGAGGGGCATATGTAATACTTTGAACAATAAACATTTATTTTAAAATAAAATAAAATGATCTCAGAGACATTTTCCAGAAAGCAAAGGGAAGCTAAGCTGCCTTTGTCCTAGTCTGGATTAATTTAGCAAATTATCTCCCCCAAACAGTGCCTTCAGAGACTGCTCTAATTTTTCCAAAGTCGTGAATAGATAGTAATGCCATTGAGCAATGAGTGAGCAGCTGAGCCAATGTAACCAGTGTAGTACATATTATAAGAACATAAAACTTACAGCAAAGTTAATCAGACACATATTTAATGATATGCATAATTGTTATTGTGCTGCACAGTAACTAGGCATAAATGGTAGACACTTCATGTAAATGACTCTAATTACTTTTTTTTTTTAACACAGGCAAACCAAGCATATCTAGGATCAGATTCAGAGGAAAACAGGAAGGAGGGTAAAGCTGGATATTTATAATAACTCTGGGAGGGCTCTCTCTTATTCCATACCCTTAAGCACTAGACTACTGGTCTCCCAACCTGGGTCATATATCTTTGAGAGTAACTTTTTCCACTCCATATTAAGAGAAGCTTCCTTTAAGCAAAGATTTTAAATTAAAAAAAATTAGGCTGAAGGCTATACAGCTTATAGGAATCAGAACAATCACTACTTCTGGCAAGGATGACAGGGTCAGGCAAGCTGGCAGAAAAACCAAATACACAGCAAACTTACCGAGGACCTACGCCAGGCACACCAGTAGGTGCTTTGCATAATTCCTCTCTAACTTCCCCACCCTACTTACAGCCCCAAATTCTGTTTCCAGGAAAGCAAAGAATGGAATAGTTCTAGTGAGGACTCCCTCCTCCAAATTCTCTCAAAAGGCCTAAAATGTCACCAGAGAGAGTAATTTAGGTTATTAACAAGCTAACACCACTAGGAAGATTAAGAGGAAGCTGTTGTTTAATGCTATTTCTTTTGCTTCCTATCTTATTTAACCCACAGAAGATATATGGTCCCCTACTTTCTTATGGGTTTATCCAAACCTATCTAGCCTTTACAGCCCAGGCTAAGCCTAGCTTCTCAAACTCATTTATTTCTGGACCTCAATACTGAGTAGGTTGTTGACACACACAATACCAATTGGGTAAGCATGTTTGGTGAAGTACAAAGACAGTATCTTTCTTTCTCTGGTCACCAAATGCCTAGCCCTGAAATTTTTTCAGCCATTGGAACTCTCTGCTAAAAATCAGACTAAAAAGCTGTCAAATTAAACTGCATCTAGAATCCCAGGCCTTCAATGCTCTTCTATTAAAAGGTGTTGATGACCAGATTTAGGTCTTCACCTTTCATTGTATTTAATACTACATGCTATTCATAAAGAACCTTAAAAATTATGACAAAATATTTGACCTAGTAATTCACTATTATGAGTAGTAACAGCACCTGAAAGTTCTTAAGTACTTACTGTATGCTAGGCAATGTGCTAGCCATTTTCCTTAAGATATCTCACAAAAAAACAAATAAGATCATTACTACTATTACTTGACAGACGAATAAAGGAAAGCTTGGAAATTAGCGCAAGTGACAGAGGTGGGACTCAATCTCAGATTGATTGAACTCTAGAGCCCACCTTTCTTACTACCACCCAAACTAGAAATATATCCTGGGAAAATGACCCCAAAATATAGCAACAATTTTAAGCACAGGAGGCTCAGTGCCACCATGTACATGGCAACTTGAAGCATTCTAAACACAGGTAAGTAAATGGAGGCAATTTGGATTACAAAATATTACATAGGCATTAAAATATTTTTACAACTAACTTTTAGTGACTCGTGAAGGAAATGTTATGCTATAAATAGAAAAAAATAAAATACAAAACTTTACATTAATCAGATCTCAACTATATAAAAATTGTCTGCACATGGAAAGACCTAAATTTACTGTTAAACTTAAAAAGACAAAAGAAAAAAGACAAGTTGCAGAATAATATAAGACCTTGGCCAATGTGGTTCAGTGCATAGAGCATTAGCCGGTGCACTGAAGGTCATGGGTTTGATTGTCAGTCAAGGGCACATAACTGGGTTGCAGGGCATATGCAGGAGGCAACCAATCAATGTGTCTCTCTCACAATGATGTTTCTCTCTCACTACCTCCCCACCCTGCTCCACCTCTTTCCCTCCCTTCCACTCTCTCTAAAAATCAATGGAAAAAAATATCCTCATGTGAGGATTAACACACACACACACACACACACAAAGGTAATCAATAGCTTCAGGGGGATACAGCAGACTTGTAGCACATGAATAAAAATTAGAAATATTTTTCAGCTACTGTTTTTATAGGTAGAGTTTACTTACTTACTTACTTACACGCGCGCGCGCGCACACACACACACACACACACACACACACATACTTATTTTGAATTGAAAATGGGCAACTCTAGATCTTAGTTCCTCAAGTTCCATAGCAGTCTCAATATTTGAATATATAAGTTGAAATGCAAAATCCATGGCATTGCACTGAATTTTGGCCTACTATGGCAAAGAACAAATTGAAACATTAAAAAAATACAAGATTTTCCCCTTCCTCTTCTCCTCAGGTATGTGCCACAAAATAACATACCTGCCAAATAAAGACCATGAAAAATACTAAAAATTAATTAGATAGCAATAAAAACAACTGTAACTTTGAAGAACTGTCTCTTTTTTATGCTCTGTATTGAACAGAATTACAAAACCATCACACAGACAGATAAGTCCTTACCTATATCTTGCCCCACCAGCCCATTGCAGTACATGGCATGTCGCTCAATCTTTGTGGGTGGGAAGCGTTGGTCACATAGTGGGCAGGATACCTTGGTACTAGATGAGAAAGAAGAAGGTATTTCCTTCTCAGCATCTTCCCTGTTGCCAACCTAAAGAACATGACAAGCAGCAATTGTAACAGCTTTAATTTATAAAATAAATTTTCCCCAAAGAACTATAAGAAATTCTATCTATACTTTATTTACTTTCAGAGACAATACCAATTAGTTTGCAAATTCAAGACTGAGATGAGAGATAACATAGTCAATAGTTATTCAGTGCCTGCTCCCTATGTGCTAAGTACTCTGCATGTAATATTCATTTAATCCTCATAGCAATCTAACAAAGGTATTAACATATCCTTTTTACATGAGATAAGCATTGTCCAAAATAGTAAAGCAAATTGCCCAAAGTTACGGAACAAATAAGTGGCAGAGCTAAAATTCAAACCAAGGACTATTTGGTGCCAAAAACTGAGGGCATTTCTTTCTATCACGCTGCAAGGCACTGTTCTCCTGCGGTCAGGGTACTGTTTGCAGTCTTTCAATAGTCTATATAGCAGCAGCACCTTAAAGACACTTTCAATCTCACAAAAGAACTGTGATATTTTACGTAAGACATATATAAGGAGTTAGAAAACAAAAGAGCTCTAAGCAACAGAAGCACAATTAAAATTTTAGAACCTAGGTCTCAGCTTAAACCAGTAAGATATATCACCTCTTGTGTTTTATGACTTTGGATTGAAAGAAGAAATACAATTAAATCCCAAATATTTAAGAAAGCCAAAGAAAAGTCATTAAGACATTGCTGCTAAAGCCATTTTTTAAAATAAATATTTTTTATTGATTTCATAGAAGAGAGAGAGAGAAAGATAGAAACATCAATGATGAGAGAGAATCATCATCAGGTTTCCTCTTGCACACTCCCCTCTAGGGATTGAGTATGCAACCAGGCATGTGTCCTGTTTTATGGGTCAACACTCAACCACTGAACCACACCAGTCAGGCCTGCTGAAGCCATTCTATAGCATACCTCTCTTGTTTCTCTCCTTGTGCTATATTCATCATTTTTCAATAGTTGCCAGTGTCTCTCAGAGGCAGTTTTATTTTACCTTACAGATCAGAACTGAGAACTCTGCAGTGATTAATTCAACAGTATGCATTAAGCACTGCAGTACTACTGCCTAACATTTGCTTCAAAGGACAGCATGTCCTGTCCAATCAATGTGAAACTATCCTGCATAGCCACTGCTTCCATTTAAAAGCAAAGAGCACCTGGGCTGTCATTATGCCTTACTACAGGGAAAAAATAAACCATCTTCTAGTACAAGAACAAAACAGGACCAAAACTGCAATTGGTAGATAATTTGAGCTCTGAAACAACTGGATCTTGGGGTAGGGAGGTTGTCTCTTGTTTAGGCCATCCCTGAAATCTCCGGTGAATGCGATCCATGAGAGGGAAATAGGTCACCTAAATACCAAATCAAACAGTTTCTATAATTGCCAAAATATGTTGTTTCAACACATGTGTTTTATACTTAAAAAGAAATATTCTGGAAGGGGGGAAAAGGAAAAGATGAGAAAGGAACTAACAATGGTTGAGTTCCTATACTATGCCAGGTTTGACCAAACATTTTCCATATCCATCCCTCATAACAGCCCAACCGATAAAGGCGTATCTAGCTCAAGTATTACAGAAGAGGAAATTGAGGCTTAGAAAGACAAAGTAATCTACTGATCACATAGTTACTAAGTAGGCAATCTAGACACAAACCCGGGCCTGTATGATATCAAACCTTCAGTATTTCCATTCTACCATGGTGTGGCAAAAGCAAAAGTCACCCGCTTCCACTTGTTTCGGAAAGCTGACTCTCCTATAGGAGGTAGGTCTAGAAGTTCTAGGTGTTATTTATTCCAAGCTTAATCACTGAGCTTCTTATAAATACAGGTTCTTCTGTTCATAAATTTTACAATGAGAAGTCATCTTGTACATGCAAAGCCATTTGAGCAGAGGGAAGAAAATCAAAGTTACTCGATATTTTGCAAGTAGTCTTGAGTTGTTGAAAGTTAGTGTCACCTGCGCAGTACTTGGCCTTCTAAAGTTCACCAAGCACAGAAATACTGTATGACATGAATGTCAGTGTTCACACCCAGTACTATCCTCCTTTCCATTCATCACCAGCTCTATAAAATGTAGATAATGTACCATCAACTCTTAATATATTCAAGAGGGAGTAGTCTATTACTGTCTTATTGTGAAGACAAGACCACTTCCAATCAGACTCATAGGCAACCCAGAAGGTTTCTGAACATTTTTATATTAAAATAAGAGTTTTCTATCACAATTAAAATGGTCTATTTATATACAATATTAACTATGAGGGGGGTGATAAACTGGTGAAATTATATTCATATATGGACACATACAAAGAGTGATGAAGGTCTGGGAGAAGTGGGTATGAAGTGGAGGGGGTCATTGGGAAGGAAAGAAAAAAAAAACCACAAGGGATATATGTAATACTTTCAACAATCAAGAAAATTGAAAAAATGTAACTATCAAATGTAAAAATGAAAACTATAATGGAGGAACCCCAAGCCAAAAAACAAAAGAAACTTTTATCAGGACTATGCCATCAGGAATTAAGTCTCTGCAAAAATGCTTCTTTCTTTTACTACTGTAAAATGCTATACAGCCATTTCTCAAAAGAGGCACCTCGATACCAAATCTTGATCTCTTACTTTTTAGCCTCAAAAGAAACTTCACTTCAAGAAATGAAGTGCCCGACGGATGTGGCCGAGTGTCGACCTATGAACCAGAAGGTCATGGTTTGATTTCTGGTCAGGGCTCGATCCCCAATAAGGGGCATGTAGGAAGCAGAGGACTACCAACAGAAAGAAAACACTGAGAAAAATTAGAGAGAATATTCACCTCCTTATCTGACGTTATTATTGTTACTTCATCCTGGGTCTCTCTGCTACCTGGAGAGACTTCTCTTTCAAGGTCAAAAGTTTCAGAGGAACTTAGCTGTGTCTCTGTAATTAAAAAAAATATAAATCTCATTAATTTTCATTTTGTATTTTCAGTTAAAAAAAACAAACATCTATTTCCCCTAACGAGTATGATAAAACTGAGGTGGTTTATCATACAATTTGCTTGATTCTTCATAAAGCTTTACTGAGGCCTAATATACATACAATAGAACTCAGCAATTTTCTGTACAGAATAAGTGGCTAATTCAAGAGAGGAGGTGTCCATTAAAGCTGAAAGTCCATTATATAATAAAGTAGGTTTTCTGAAAGCATGTTAAAAATATTGACAAATTAGTTTACCTGTTTATATTTATGTAGACATGTTTGTGTAATTAAAATTAAGTATGCATAAAAATTTTAATTTCATTGAAGTGTTCTATATGTATTACTGTAATTTTATATTTATACTGAATAGGTATAGTAAATGTGTGCATTCACCAGTCACCATGAGTAAACAAATGCACACGATTGGGGCATGGCTTAGCATACATTAAAACTGCTGCAAAGTCACGCCATTCAACAACAGAACCAATTACCCTGGCAATGTTGTGTGATCATTGTTTATATCACATCATTCGCCAAACATTGTTTACAATTGATGACTCTTGGATTTAAAGATATAAACTATGGTTGTAAATATGTAATGTTTAACTAGGTCAGCAAGAAGTTACTAGAGTTTTTTCCAACATATGGCCTATTCACTACCATTTGTTAAAAATAAAAATGAAGCCCTAAGCAGTTTGGCTCAATGGATGGAGCATCAGCCGGAGGACTGAAGGGTCCTAGGTTCCATTCCGGTCAAGGGCAGGTACCTTGGTTGCGGGCACATCCCCAGTAGGAGTGTGCAGGAGGCAGCTGATAGATGTTTCTCTCCCATCAATGTTTCTAACTCTCTATTCCTCTCCCTTCCTCTCTGAAGAAAATCAACAAAATATATTTTAAAAATAATAAAAATAAAAATGAATTAAAAATAATAATAATAATCTGTTAATTTAATTATAAGCAAATCTTGGTTAAAAGCATTTTAAAATTAAAAGGGTGTTAATTTTCACATATGACATATGGACCAAAAATTGTGTCCATTAAATCCAAAATCTGTTAAGTCAAAGTCTGAAAATATTTTACTAAATATAATTTGACGAGTTTTGATAAATATATACAATTCATACATATACCAGTTATACCACGTAATTACCACCACAATCAAGAAATATAAAATCTGCCCTGGCCCGGCCAGCATGGCCCAGTGGTTGAGTGTTGAACTGTGAACCAGGAGGTCATGGTTCGATTCCCAGTCAGAACACATGCCAAAGTTGCAGGCTAAATCCTCAGCATGCGTCCTATAGGAGACAACCAATCAATGATTCTCTCTCATCATTGATGTTTCTGTCCTGCTCTCCCTCTCCCTCTTTCTCTGAAATCAATAAAAATATATTTTTAAATAAGTAAATAAAATAAAACCTGCCCTGGATCGTTTGCTCAGTGGTTAGTGTGTCAGTCCAAGCACTGAAGGGTCTCAGGTTCGATTCCTGGTCAAGGCATGTACCTCGGTTGCAGGTTTGATCCCTGGCCCCCATTTGGGAGACAACCAATCAATGTGTCTCTCTTAAATCCATGTTTCTCTTTCTCTCCCACTCCACTATCTCTAAGAAAACAAATGGAAAAAATATCCTTGGGTGAGGATTAAAATATATATTAAAAAATCTTTCTAACATCCCAAAAAGTTCTCCCTTCCTAGCACCCCAAAAGTGTACCCCTTTGTACTCAATCCCCTCCTACTTGGCTCTTTGCAATGACCAGTCTATTTTGTGTCGCTATAATTTTGCTTCTTCTAGAATATTATATGGTGTGTTGTCTTTGTGTCTGACCTCTTTTATTTAATATGGTATTCCACTGTATGGATATTTCAGTTTGTTTATCCATTCATCAATCAATTGGTTTGTCTTCTTTCCAGCATAGTTGTGCTTTTAAAGTATATTTATTTTGGCAAAAAACAAAAACCTGCCAATGTAAGTTCTAAAGTAAAAGGAATGATTAGAGATGACAAAATTAGGGAGCAGAAATAGAAAATACATTCTCAAGGAAGATATGACTTTATTTTATTTTTTCTTTATTTTTTCAATTTCAATTTATATGTTTACAATATTATATGTTTCAGATGTACCCCCCAGTGATTAGACATTAAAAAAACTTTAAGTGATCATTCAGAAAAATCTCATGCCCATCTAACACCATACATAGTTAATAGAATATTATTTACTAGGTGTATCGGTTAATAATGTGGATTTTTTTTCAATAGATGGAGTTACACATGTGTTGATATGTATGCTATTTTGTTGTACTGACAAGCTTCAAAACTTCATATGTCAAATTTTCTGAAGGTGTTAACATCATAGATATTTTTACGCTTAAAAAATGTCAAATTTCGTGCCAAAAAAGAGCATTTGTGGGAAGTTTTAATTCATTACTTTATTTTGAAAAAAAGTGCTGCTGAATACTTTGGGAAGCTTACGGTGAACATGCTCCCTCTCAAGATACTTGTGAATGCTGGTTTAAACGCTTTAAAAGTGATGATTTCAATGTGAAAGACAAAGAACAACCAGGTTGACTGAAAAAGTATGAAGATCAACAATAACAAGCATTATTGGATGAAGATGCATGACAAACTGAAAAACAACTTGCAGAAAGATTAAAAGTTGCTCAGCAAATAATTTCCTATCATTTACAAGCAATGGGAAATATTTTTTTTATTAAGGTATTATATGTGTACATATCTTTCCATTGCCCCCCCCACGCCCATACATGCCCTTCCCCACCCCCGAGTTTTTCGTCCATTGGTTTTGCTTATATGCATGCATACAAGTCCTTCAGTTGATCTCTTATCTCCTCCATATCTCCCTATCCTCCCCGCTGTAATTTAACAGTCTGTTTGTTGTTTTACTGTCTCTGTATCTATCTTTTTTTTCATCAGTTTATAATGTTCTTTATTATCCATAAATGAGTGAGGTCATGTGGTATTTCTCTTTCATTGACTGGCTTATTTCACTCAGCATGATGTTCTCCAATTCCATCCAAGTTGCTGCAAATGATGGGAATTCTTTCTTTTTTATGGCAGCATAGTATTCCATTGTGTAGATGTACCATAGTTTTTTTATTCAATCATCTGCTGATGGGCACCTATGCTTTTTCCAAATCCTAGCTATTGTAAATTGTGCTGCTATGAACATAGGGGTGCATATTTCCTTTTTGATTGGTGTTTCTGGTTTCTTAGGATATATTCCTAGGAGTGGGGTTACTGGGGCAATAGGAAAGATTTTAAAGGAAGGAAAATGGGTGCCACATCAACTAAATGAAAGACAAATGGAAAACTGAAAAGTCATCAGTAAAATATTACTTTAATGGCACGAAAGTCTTTTTTGCATCCAATTGTGACAAGCAATGAAACATGGATTTATTTTGAGAATCCCAAACGCACAAAATCATGGGTTGATCCACGTCAACCATCAACATCGACTGCAAGGCCAAATGCCTTCAGAAAGAAGACAATGCTCTGCATTTGGTGGGCTCAGGAAGGTGTGGTGTATTATGAACTTCTAAAACCAGGTTAATACTGATCGCTACCGACAACAAAAAATCAATTAGATCCGCTTTGATTGTAAAACCACCAGAATGGGCCAGAAGACACAGCAAAGTAATTTTGCTTCATGATAACACACTCTCACACACTTCAAAACCAGTTAAATACATGTTGAAAGATCTTGCCTGGGAAGTATTAACCCACCCACCCTATTCACCAGACCTTGATCCTTCAGATTACCACTTGTTCCAATCAATGGCACATGCACTTTCTGAATAGAACTTCAAAACATACGAAAAAGTGGAAAACTGGGTCTCTGAATGGTTAGCCTCAAAACAAGAAAAGTTCTATTGGGTCAGTATTCACAAATTTCCTGAAAGATGGGGGAAATGTGTAGCTAGCAATGGACATTATTTGAATAAAGCACTTTTGATGTTTCCCTTGAAATTATCGTGTTTTCTTTTATTACAAAATCCAAATTAACTAGATCTATTACAATATTCCCTATGTTATACTTTACAGTACATGCCCATGATTACACTATAACTACTGATTTGTACTTCTAAATCCCTTCACCTTTTTCACCCATCCCACAGCCCCTCTTCCATCTGGCACCATCAAAATGTTCTCTTATCTATGAGTCTGTTTCTGTTCTTCTTATTCATTTATTTTATTAGATTCAATTGTTAATAGTCATGTATTCATTGTCATTTTATTGTTTATATTTTTAATCTTTTTTTCTTCTTAAAGAAAACTCTTTATTTAATATTTCATTAATACTGGTTTGGTGGTGATAAAATCCTTTAGCTTTTCTTTGTCTGAGAAGCTCTTTATCTGACCTTCAATTCTAAATGATAGCTTTGGTGGGTAATCTTCAGTTGTAGGTTTGTCACTTTGAGTATTGCCTGCCACTCCCTTCTGGCTTGCATTTCTGTTGAGTCATATGGGCACCCCCTGTAGATAAATAACTCCTTTTCTCTTTCTGCATTTAAGGAACTTTGTCTTTAACCTTTAGCATTTTAACCTATGTGCTTCCTGGATTGTATGTCTATTTCTTTCACCAGGTAAGATAAGTTTTCTGTCATTTATTTCAAATAGGTTTTCAATTTCTTGCTCCCTCTGTTCTTCCAGCACCCCCATGATGCAAATGTTGGTAAGCTTGAAATTTTCCTAGAGGTTCCTTACACTATCTTCATATTTTTGGATCCTTTTTTCTTTTTGCTCTTCTGGTTGGGTGTTCTTTGCTTCCTTTTATTCCAAATTCTTTATTTTATTCTTCACTTCATCTACTCTATTGTTGATCCCCTGCAAATTATTATTTCAGTCAGTCTATGCTTAATTTCTTTTATTCTTTATTATTGAAATTATTACATAGGTCTTCCTTTTCTCCCCCATTAACCTCTCCCAGCCCACTCCCATCCTCTCTCAGACCCCCCACTCCCTCATCACCCCATTGTCTGTGTCCACGAGTTATGCGTATATGCATGCAAGTTCATTGGTTGATCTCTTCCCACCCACCCTCCCTTGACTTCCCTCTGAGTTTCAACAGTGTGTACATGCTTCTATGTCTCTGGGTCTATTTATCATCATCAGTTTATTTGGTTCATTAGGTTCCACATATGAGTGAGATCATGTGATACTTATCTTTCTCTGACTGGTTTTTTTCACTCAGCATAAAACTCTCCAGATCCATCCTTGCTGTTGTAAGTGGTAAAAGTTCTTTCTCTTTTACTGTCATGTAGTATTCCATTGTGTAAATGTACCATAGTTTTTTTATCCACTCATCTGCTGATGGGCACTTAGGCTGTTTCCAAGCCTTAGCTATTAAAAATTATGCTGCTATGAATATAGGAGTACATATATTTTTTCTGAGTGTTTCAAGTTTCTTAGGTATATTCCTAGAAGTAGGATGACTGGGTCAAATGGGAGTTTCATTTTTTAATTTATTGAGGAAACTCCATATTGTGTATGCTTAATTTCTAACTGGCGTGGGTTGTTTTTTTTTGGTTTTTTTTATGTTATTGATATTCTCACTAAGTTCCAAGAAGTTCCCACTAAGTTCATTGAGCATCCTTATAACCACCATTTTGAACTCTGTATCTGGTAGTTTTCTTGCTTCTATTTCACTTAAGGTCTTTATCTGGAGATTTCTCCTGTTTTTTCTTTAGAGAAAGATTTCTTTGTCTCAGCATATTGGCTGCTTCCCTATATTTGTGTCTCTGTTTTCAGTAGATCTGTTACATCTCCCACACTGGTAAAAAGGCCTTGTGTAGTAGGTGTCCTGTAGGGCCCAGTGGCTCAGCATTCCCAATCACTTGAGCTGGGCACTCCAGTGTGAACTGTGTGCACTGTCCTATTGTAGTTGAGCCTTGATTTATGTTGGTGTCACTGGGTGGGATTGACCCCTAGGCCAATCAGTTGAGAGGGTCGACTGAGACTACAACAGAACTACTGTACAGGAGCCGACCCTATGGAGCAAGAATAGGTTCAGTGGGGCTTTGGTGCTAAGCATGCCCCTTGAGTGTGTCACTCATGGAGGTGGTAGGGTTGTAATCCAGCATGGTTGAAGCTGACCACCAGGTTCACTGGCTCTATAGCCTCTCAGGAGGTGCAAAGCCAGCCACTGCCTGTGCCCTACCCAGGGCTACCCAGCATGAGCTACAAAATAATCTGCAGATGGCTGCTACTTGTGTTGGGCTTGGAGGTGCCCAAGAAGCCAAGCTATAAACCAAGCGGGGCTGCTGCTAATACTGGGCCTAGGGCCACTTATTGAGAGGTACAGGGCACACTGAGACCAGCTGCTGCTTGTTTGAGAGATTTTAGGAAAGTCCGAAGCATGAGACAAGAGAGGCCACTTGTATAGAAAAGCCACTGGAAATGGCTTGGATGAGCCTGCAAGTAGGGAGGGGTGGGGTCTCAGGAAATCACCAGGGCAGGGTGAAAAGTGTGAGCCAGGTTGATAGACATTCAGATATGGTGCCTGCCTATAGGCTCTGTGGCAGGGAGTACTAAGCAAAGGAAGATTGGCCTCTGCCAGCACTTGTGTCTGGGAAAAAGTTGCCCCTCCAGCTCTTGCCCTGATTCCAGACAAGTTGATTCCTCCCTAAATGTCCTAGGTTCCTTTCAAGGTGCTGCCCCAGTGCTGGAGCTCAGAGGGTGTGAGTCTGAGTAAGTCCATGGGCAGGTCCTTTAAGAGGAACTGCCTGTGTCTCCTGCAGTCTCCGTGTCACTCAGCCACAATCCTGCTGGTTTTTACAACCAGAAGTTTGGAGACTTCTCTTCCCAGCACTGGAATCCTGGACCAAGGGGTCTGAGGTGGGGCTGGGAAACCTCCACAGCCAAGATATCCCTCCTGATTTTAAACTGCCACATGTGGGTGTGGGACCAGCCAGTTCCTTGATTGGCCTTGTGTCTCTCTGTCCCTCCTACCAGTCTCTGTGGCTTCTTAATTCCCTAGTTGTAGGGGCTTTCATTCAGCTAGAATAACTGCTTATTGCTTGCACTACAGTAAAAATAAAATGTCTTTACCTAAGCTTTCTATAAATGGCTGAAATGTTCAACTGTAAAGACAATGTAGCTTTAGAAATAAACAATGCTAGTGTCATGCACATTGTGGACATAAAGCTATAAATTTGCTTCTTCAACAAAGTGAGTAACTCTAAAAGGACGTCATAATTTTCAATATAAAAACTAATAGAAATTTATAAAATGAAATAGATAAGATGGATTACTATACCCAAACTGTGTTTCACTCATTTATAACAAAGTTTTCAGACAATTTAAATGCACAGATTTTAAATTATATATTTAGAATTGTGTGTGTGTGTGTGTGTGTGTGTGTGTGTTCAGCCACTCAGGAGTCCAGTTCCATGAAGGAGTTAATACTTTCTTAGCAAAAGGAACAAGTTATGAAAACCTTTTGTGATCTACTTTAGAAGTGGTTGTGTCAGCAAAAAGCTGGATTTAATTAACAGACTAGTGATAACAGTCATGATCTAAAAGTTATCTAACCTCAGTCATAAAGGGCTTGCTTTTTCCTCTCTTATTTACTAGGGCTTTCAAGATTATTGTATTAGGCCGAAACCGGTTTGGCTCAGTGGTAGAGCGTCGGTCTGCGGACTAAAGGGTCCTGGGTTCGATTCCGGTCAAGGGCATGTACGTTGGCTGTGGGCACATCCCCGGGTAGGGGATGTGCGGGAGGCGGCTGGTCGATGTTTCTCTCTCATCGACGTTTCTGGCTCTCTATCTCCCTCCATTCCTCTCTGTAAAAAATCAATAAAATATATTAAAAAAAAAAAAAAAAAAAGATTATTGTATTAGGCCCTAGCCAGTTCGGCTCAGTGGTTGGACATCAACCCCTAAACCAGGAAATCAGGGTTTGATTCCAGGTCAATCCCCAGTACAGGGTGTGCAGGAGGCAGCTGATCGATGATTCTCTCTCATCACTGATGTTCTCTCTCTCCCTCTCCCTTCCTCTCTCTAAAATGAAAAACAATAAAACAAACAAACAAAATGTTTAAAAAAAAAAAAAAAGATTATTGTATTTGCAATACAATTCTCCTTCAAGATCCCAGGGTGGCTTCATATGCCATCATACTAAACAGACAGTCTGACTCTGAGCAGAATGGCATAAGGGAGAAGTCCCAGACAGAAAGGGGGATAAAGCTTTCTTTCACAAAGATAGCACAGCATTTCTAAGTGTTCTTGCCAAAACTGGAGCACAAGATAGTGGAGTTTCTTAGTAGGCAATAATCCAACTACATTTCAAACAAAGAAACCACTTTCAATAAAAAACCAACATAGAGCCTGGCCAGTGTTGCTAGTTGGTTAGTGTTGCCCCAGGCACCAAGAAGTCCTCCATTCAATTCCTAGTCAGGGCACATGCCTGGATTACAGGATCAATTCCCACTAGGGGCATGCAGGAGTAGTCGATTAATATTTCTATCGATGTTTCTCTCTCTCTCTCTCTCTCTCTCTCTCTCTCTCTCTCTCTGTCTCTCTCTCTAAAATCAATAAAAATATATATTTTAAAAACCTAACATATTTAAACTTTAAAATAAGTAAAGAAGTCCTGACCGGTTTGGCTCAGTGGATAGAGCGTTGGCCTGAGGAATGAAAGGTCCCAGGTTTGATTCCAGTCAAGGGCATGTACCTTGGTTGCAGGCACATTGGTGTGCAGGAGGCAGCTGATCAATGTTTCTCTCTCATCGATGTTTCTAACTCTGTCCCTCTCCCTTCCTCTCTGTAAAAAATCAACAAAATATATATAAAAATTTAATTAAGTTAAGAAAGTCCCTTAATGATATGTGCCAAATGTTTAAAAATGTTTACTTAATAGTTTTCTTTTTCTTATTTCTTTCAAGTTTTTCCCCACAAAAACTCAAACTTATTTTATATTAGCCTTTCTGACTCTGTCAGGTTAAATAAGACCTAGGAGAAAACTAGGTATGATTTATAATATTTGTATAATATTTGCTACTCAAAAGTATAAACATTAATAGACAGTAACTCAATCTCACATGAAGTAGGTTACTGATAAAAATAATGGGCCCCACATTTAAGAAAAGCCAAAAATAATAATAAAAGCTAAAACAAATTGCTTAGAAAATAGTTGTTCATATCACAAAATAATTCTTCACAGTACATACTGTTCAACCCAAGAGTTCTCTTAGACCATAGGTACCTTAGTTCATCTAAAATTATTTATATATCAAAATCTATGCTGTGCACTTTTTAATGAACAGCTTTTATACCTAAAGCAAGGTCCACATGTCTTTGCATCTCTATAATTAACAAAACCAAAGTATAGAACTTAACCAGGTTAAGTGTCTTGTCTGAGATTAAAATGTAAGTCAGTGATAGAAGTATGCAAGAAAATTCAATTTTTTTATTCCCCATGCAATAATATCCTGTGGGGTGGCAACATAAAACTAACTAGTAAAAGCCTCAGAAAATTTTGCTCAATGACAGGCAGATTTAAGAACAGCCCAACTTTGAGAATCCATAAACCAAAACATAAAGTCCTCTAGGCTCTGAATGTACAATTAAGTGGTATTCCTGATGCTTTGCTGCCATCTCTGATGAGGCTAGTCAGCAAACAAGACAAACAAGCCATGTTAATTTCAAAACTCACATATCTTTGGGAAAAGGTTGAGTGAGAATCAGAGCCATTATTCATGAGAAAAAACAGTATATATATATGTGTATGTGTGTGGTGATACACACACACATCAATCACACATAAACCTCCTGGGAGTGGGATGGAAAAGTCAGACAAATTAATAGGCACAAAGATCGCTAGGGATCAGAAAGTCAGTAAAACCACAGTGGGATACTTACCAGGACACACAGTGATTTCCTCTGCAGGACTCTCTGGCATAAGGACTAAGCTTCTCTTACTAGTCAAAGCAGCAATGCTGAAAAAGAACCAAACCTCAAGTGAATTGCCAATAAAATAAGTCAGAACACAGCACCTAAAGCAATGGTGAATCATTCACAAAGCCACCGGTTATCTGATACCTGCTGTCCAATACTAAAAAAAAAAAAAAGCACAACAGGGAAGCAAGAAATCAGTAGTGAAAACTCCAGGCCAGAAATAGAGGAAACAAACATGCTTATTACTTTGGTTCCAGTGAAATCTCTAAATGAAAAGTATACCCTTTTGGAGTCTTCACAAAGAAAGGTTGAAGGGTAAGGACTATCTATGAAGATCACAGAAGACAAAAACTCCATTCCAATAAAAGGATGTCAAAGGTGTTTCAGAGTCTCCATCTCAGCCTTCTGAAGGCTAGAGATTTGTAAGCTAGTAAGAGAAAATATGAAGATTCTCCTGACAACACACTTGCAGTTAAATTTCAACTTTATCTCAAGATGTGGCTTTATAGACAACAAAAATAAGATACAATTCCTAACTCCACAGAAGTTGAAAATCTCTTCTGAGAAAAACATAATTATGAATGGCTCCCCTCATCTGACCTTCTGGTTTCCCTGCCTGTTCATGGAGTGCAATCTCTTCCTGACACAGAACACATGGCTAAGAGATCTGAGCTAGCCCCCTCATGTTCCATAGAGCTTTACGATTAGTTTGATCAAGTATACAAGAGGACACAAATCCTCACATCAACCACAGAGAAAAGAAAATAACCACCACTGATTTGTGATAAATAACTAAACCTTGATAGAAAACCACAAGTGATTTATTTCTCTAAATAAAGTATTTCATACCATTTGTTATAAACCCAAACCAGATACAGTTTACTCTGCATGTAACATTAGGACTCTATTCAAAGGGTCCATCACAAAACAATTTGCTGACATTTATAAAATGGACTAATCAATTTAAAGTCAAACCACATTGCCTGCAGTTCCAACTCTCTCCTGGTGACAAAGCGTATAATCATTTATTAAAACCTACATCTGCTCTGCACAAGGCTCACTACAACAAAACAGAGAGGCCTGTAGGAAGCAGAACTCCAGTTAAAACCACTTCCAAAACTGTCTTAGCAGGAGAATCAAACCAAAGCCATATTCTTCAGCTCAAGAAGAAATACCTAGTATGTACTATTAACCAAAAACCTAAGAACACCAACTAAATTACAGCAAATAGCAACTGGGTCTCAACTTCCACATAGGAGATGAAGTCATCACCAAAGGTCAACAACCAAATAAAGGAAAAAGTAATTGGAAGCCTGATCCAATTTATAATCAATCCATTACTATATATTAAAGTGAGAAGACCTAAGAAAGTAGCCCTATCAATCAACCAGTAAGAATAATTAAGGAGGTAATACAAATATTACCATTTAAGGGAAAGATGAAATATAACCAACAAAAAGTGGCATAGGTTAGGGAGAGAGATACAGTTTCTGTGTGGCCTGAATAATATGAAGGCTTCAAAAAGGAGGTAAGTCGTAAGAGTAGATTTAAAAGATGTATACGGCTCAGTGTTTGAGAGTCGACTTTTGAACCAGGTCACAGTTCAATTCCCGATCAGGGCACATGCCTGGCTTGATCCTCAGGAGGGGGCATGCAGGAGGGAGCCGATCAATGATTCTCATCATTGATGTTTTTCTCTCTCCCTCTCCCTTCCTCTCTGAAATTAATTTAAAAAAAAAATACTTTTTAGCCGAAACCGGTTTGGCTCAGTGGATAGAGTGTTGGCCTGCAAACTGAAAGGTCCCAGGTTCAATTCCGGTCAAGGGCATGTACCTTGGTTGCAGGCACATCCCCAGGGGGGAGGTGCAGGAGGCAGCTGATTGATGTTTCTAATTTTCTATCCCTCTCCCTTCCTCTCTGAAAAAAATATTTTTTTAAAATACTTTTTTAAAAATGTATATGGTTTAGATATGCAGATAAGTAAACATACTTGTAAGCAGAGGAAACAAAGGGGAGAGGAAGACTAGAAGGAACATAAAGAAATCAGTTTAGAGCCTTCATATTGGCTTGGGAAGGTAGTGTAGCTAGTTAAGAGAGTAGAGGGATATAACCATTTTTCAGAAACAGTGTAAATGGGATTTGTACCAGATGGCTGGATTGGACAAGAAAACCAACAACAAAAAAATCCCTAAGATTTCTTCAACCAAATATTCTAAGCTTCTATGAGATGTATATAGGCAACAAAGATTTCTCCTAGTCTATGCTTATAAAAGAGCTAAAAGATCCCTAGCAAGCTGTCCCCCAAGTCTTACTCATGTGGTTCAGCTCTCTTATTCTGGCATCAACAGAGGAGAATTCAGACCCGTAACATATAATCTTACCTTTGTGGGGCAGGGTCAGAGTTTCCTTCTTCAGAAGTTTCCTCAGCAAATAGACCTTGGGAAGACTGCAAAGAAATACATAACATCCTAAATATACAGGTACAGATGAACTAGTTTCTCTTCCTATAAAACATACACACACACACACACACACACACACACACACACACCTCATTGTTCAACATTATCACTCAGCAGTTAACAATAACATATTACATTGTCAGTAAGTGTCAGCCAAAGGAACATATCTTGTGGAGACAAAAGACTGAAATTTAAATTATGGGTGAATCACCTGTTAACTCTGTAATCTTGAGTAAGTCACATCTGACTTAGTTTCTTTATCTTTTAATCTATATACTAGTGTCCCGGTGCACTGATTCATGCACATTGAAAGGAAATTAATTAGAAGAAATATTTTAATATCGCTATTTGCCCTTTCTCAAGAGTCAATCATATTCCCAGTCGTATTGATATTTACTGCTGTGTTGCTGACAATTACTTGAAAGAGAAGTTGGGGTGCTTCGGTGGGCTTGAAAAAGTTAGCTAAATCAGAAAGCAGAACATGGTGGTCAGTACATGTCATAGCTACTGGTCGAATGGTCAGAAGGACACTTAGCCTTTTATTTTATTTTTTTTTAACTGATTTCAGAGAAGAAAGAAGAAGAGGTAGGAACATCAATGATAAGAGAATTATTTATCAGCTGCCTCCCGCATGCCCCCTTCTGTGAACCAAGCCTGCAACTGGGGCATGTACCCTGACTGGGAATCAAATCAAAACATGACCACCTGGTTCACAGGTTGATGCTCAATCACTGAGCAACACTGGCCTGGCTGTTTCCTCATCTTAAAATAATATTAACAATTGCCTAGTCCTAGCTGGTTTGGCTCAGTGGACAGAGCACTGGCCTGTGGACTGAAGAGTCCCAGGCTTGATTCTGGTCAAGGGCACATGCCTGAGTTGCGGGCTTGATCCCCAGTAGGGCGCATGCAGGAGGCAGCTGATCAATGATTCTCTCTCATCATTGATGTTTCTGTCTTTCCCTATCCCTTCCTCTGGTGAAATCAATAACAATATATTTAAAAAACGACTGCCTCACAGAGTGCTATGAGAATTAAACAAGATATGTGATGCACTTTGTAAATACAAGACATAAATAATGGTGAGTCAAATTATGATTTCAGTAAAGCAGTTACGTATAAAGCTTTTGTTGTGGGAAGAGGAGATTTAGAGAAAAATCCAGTTTTCAGTGGAAATAGAGAGTTGGGAAAAATATTGCAATCCATGAAAAACGTCTCTCTGGACACAACAGACATAACACAGAGCATTCCAAAAGGAAGGTTATAAATATTCCTTTTACTAGAAATCTGCCACTATGGTTTTGGAATCTGGCTACAAGGATATCTTTTAAGAAATATAATAGCCTTAGCCAATTTGGCTCAGTGGATAGAGCGTTGGCCTGTGGACTAAAGGGTCCTGGGATCAATTCCAGTCAAGGGCAGTCACTTTCATCGCGTGCTCATCTCCGGCCCAGGACCTGGTCAGCGCTCGTGTGGGAGACAATCAATCGATGTGTTTCTCTCACATCAATGTTTCTCTGTCCCTTTCTCTTCACTCTCTATAAAAATTAATGGAAAAATATCCTTGGGTGAGGATTAACAAAATAAATAAATTAAAATAAAAGATATATTTTTAAATGAAGTATAACAGACAAATACTGGATAAGAAAAAGACTATTTTCTTTGATTAATGGTAGTTGTTGCAAATGTCTACTCATTAAATATAGGTGCACAGAAGAGCACAGAAAAAGCAGCTATTGCCAACTTAGGTGGGTTTCTGAAGAAGTGTCCCTAACTGTACGGCTTCTTCCAATAGATGTAAAACTATTGGCTGAAGTTTAGAGGGTCTCATACAGGGTATAAATAACCTAAACAAGTTTAGCCATCTCTTTACTACCCAGGAAAATGAAGAAATATACTAAAAAACAGGAATCCCTTCAGTCTAAGGGAAGATAAAGCTGTGATCAGAAATGTAGCCATTATGAAAAATAAAGGTTGAACAAAGCTGTCAGAAGTACTAAAATACAATTGTAATAAATATGTCACATATTTGTTTGAGTTCAGTAGAGAAAAACCAGTTTCATTCCTGAAACCTCAAAAAAGGTAAATATTGCCCAGTCGATTTGGTTCAGTGGATACAGCATTGGTCTGTAGACCTAAGGATCCCGGGTTCAATTCCCGTCAAGGGCACATGCCTGGGTTGTGGACTTGACCCTCAGTAGGGGACGTGCAAAAGGCAACCAATCAATGGTTCTCTCTCATCATTGATGTTTCTCTCTCTCTTTTTCTCCCTTCCTCTCTAAAAGCAATTTTAAAAAAAATGCTTTTTTAAAAGGATTAATACTGACACCTAGTGTCCATTTAATAGAATTTTACCTTCTTAGAATGATTTGACTAAGCCTTGGGCTTCAGAAGCAATCAAAGCACTTAGAAGTTATAAGATACCTCCACTTCTGCCTTAGGTTAAAGCATCTCTACCTTTGCCAGAGTAAGTTTTTTTTTAAATATATTGTGCACCTATTTATGCCAGGCCTATGATAATCACTAACATGCATTATCTCCTTTAGTCCTAACAAGAAACTTCTGAGGAAATTAATTATTTTAGAAATGAGGAAAATGCAATTTGAGAGGTTAAGTAATTTGCCCAAAATCACAGACTTGGGTCAAAAATGAAACTTGGACCTGTCTAACTCCAAAATCCATGCTCTAACCAGTACTGTTAATATTGTTTACTCAAATGATCTTCTTACCATTCATTTCATCATATCCCAAGAATGTCTTCATTTCAATAAACCATTTTTAATTTCTAAACTTATACCTCAATAGCAATAATTTGAAGAAAGGGGTAAAGTGAGGCTCTTCCAGAATATGAAAACAATACAGTAAAATAAGCAAACAAAATGCAATTAAAACACCCAAATTTAATCAAGGTGGACAGGAAAGCATGATAGCAATATAACTTTAACTAAGGAAACTGTGGTCTAATCAAGACAGCTCTCTGCCTGAAGAAATAAGTTAATGGGAAAAGGATAGTTTACCAAAATATTTACAAAAGAAAGATTCAAAGATCTAGATTCAAGCAGTGCCATTAACACCATGGCCTGAGAAGTGAAAGTGAATGGACATATCATCTGGTCACCATAAAAATATCCTCTGTTGTCAGGCACTGGTAGTATATCAAGTCTTTCCCTAGACTAGTTGAATCATCTCTTAAAATTTCCATTTTCTGATTACTATTTCAGGTTTCCATATACCTCATCCTAGAAAGAGATACAATAGATGATAGACCTGAGAATTCCAGTCACTAAAAATGTCTCTCTTCCATAATAAATTAACAAACTGTCATTTGGTGCTCATGTCAAATAGAAGTTTGGTTAGTCAAGTCAGTTCTCATACCCACATACAATGTGATCATTTTTGGAAAACAAATTCCAGTCTCTGAACTGAAAAAATTAAAATCAGACATTGAAAAATAATGAACACATTAATATACTACCCTCTACTTCCCTGCTGAACAGTTATCAAAATAATCACTCCATCTTCATTAACAATTTCCCAATTATCTCAGTGATGTCAGAAACCAGTTAACATCTGATTTTAAAGCTTTTATAGCCTTCATATAGAGTAAGCAATCTGCCTCAGGGTGAATATTTTTCTGAATCCCTATTTCTGGGACTATTTTGCTATCTCTATCAACCAAGTAGTCTCAAATGTGAACAACTCCAGCAAAATAAAAATCAATAGAAAATATTTAACAAAAATATAAATTCTTTCTACCACAGTTCCTAAAAGCCAAAGACCAAGACAAGAGGTGAAATTATTTAACACTTTCATTATTTGCCTATATAATTAGTAAGTTTATTGTTGTTTATTTCTTAAAGATACTATTCTATGTTGGCAAGGCTGCAGTGAAGTAGGTATTCTGATACACAGCTGGATGGAGGGAGTATAAATTTGAGCAGACTTTCTGAAAAGCAATCTGGTAACAAATAACAAACCTTTTTATTTATAACTCTTTAATCCAACATTTTTCTGGTTCCCTATCCCTAAAGACACTAATTTTAAGTAAAGAAAATATTTATATTATATTTAGAAAGATGTTTATCACAATCAAAATATCCAGCAATAGAAAAATAGTTTAAAAATTCATAAGCCAGCCGAAACCAATTTGGCTCAGTAGATAGTGTCAGCCTGCAAACTGAAAGGTCCCAGGTTTGATGATTCCAGTCAAGGGCATATACCTTGGTTGCGAGCACATCCCCAGTAGGGGGTGTGCAGGAGGCAGCTGATTGATGTTTCTCTTTCACCAATGTTTCTCTCTATCCCTCTCCCTTCCTCTCTGTAAAAAATCAATAAAATATATTTTTAAAAATAAATAAAAATTCATAAGCCAGAATGTTAATCATTAAAAATGGAAATCTATCATTTTAACATAAGAAAATGTTTACATGTTAACTTTAAAACACAAAAATTATACAGAAAAGAAGAAGGAATACATCACTAGATGATAGGATTATGGAGGCTTTCAGCCTTATTCTAAAAATTTTTGAACATTTTTCAATAGTTCTAAATGATCTCTAAAATTAATGTTAATGACTGCACTGGACACTCACTAGATTGTCTACCTGGTCTCTTTTCACTGAAGACTGCCCCTCACCCCAACCACTGCATTATAGCATCATAGCCATTTGTTCAATGTGACACATACCCACTTCAGGCCACAGCCAACTGTTCTGGTGAGAGCTATTAACGTCAAATGGGCCATAAGTTCCTTTCTTAGAAATATGAAATTGAACTGGGAGAAAGTAAATCTCCTGTAATCTGTATTTAAGTTTGAGAGCTATGTAGGATCAGTATTTTCCATCTACCATGTGAAAGATAGAAGAAAAGGAAGACAGTCTGTGGGGGACGGGGGAGAATGAAGTAGATACAATATAGCATTGAGATACATAAAATTAGATGATTTTCTAGACTCAGTATCTTCTCCAGACTGGTTACGATCCTCTTTTAAAATTTATGAGGTACCATGTTTCCTTATGATAAAGTCTTCTTCTTAATTAAGATAGCTTGATTTTACTTGTTATAACCAAATAGTATCAATTAATATTTGTAGTATTTTGAGGCCTGTTCATGAAGTAAAAGAACTTCAATCTATTAAGGCTACCCACTAAAGTCTGACCACGTCCATGCTATTCCAAAGACACTGTTTCAAACTTAGAACTTGACAAGTCTATGCTCTAGAACTCTGGCCCCTAAAATCTTTCAAGCTAACAACTTGAGTTACAATAAATCATTGCAGAGTTAGTTTATTGTTTTAAGGGGAAACATCTCTACATTGCAAAAAAACTAAAAACAAAACATGTTATTATAAACATTACCTTTCATTTGAAAAAGAGTCAAATCACTAGGAGTACTGTTAGGAAAAAATGCTTTTTCTTCACATACAGCAATTTTCCCATAATGAGGATGAAGAGAATGCTAGGCAATAATGATTCCCAGAAGGTAGTCTCAGTGAATGACCCTCTAGTCCCTTAGAGAGAACTACCATTTACCGAATATACTAGGTACTTTAGACAATTCACTTTATTTTTTTTATTTTTTTTAATATATTTTATTGATTTTTTATTTTATTTTATTGATTTTTAACAAAGAGAAAGGGAGAAAGATAGAGAGCTAGAAACGTCCGATGAGAGAAACATCGACCGGCTGCCTCTTGCACACCCCCTACCGGGGATGTGCCCGCAACCAAGGCACATGCCCTTGACGGGAATAGAACCTGGGACCTTTCAGTCCGCAGACCGAAGTTCTACCATTGAGCCAAACTGGCTTTGGCTAGACAATTCACTTAAATCATTAAACTACTGACTTGCTATTCCCATGTTACAGATGTAAAAAACAGATTCAGAGGGTTAAGTGGTTTGCTCAAAGGTACACAGTTACTAAAACAAAAAAGTAAAAATTCAAACTTCAAGTCCATACTCTGTGCACTGGGCTATGAAATTTCTCATAGCGATCATTTCTAGAACCCTTATCATAAGAGACAGAGCAAAAAGGGTAACAGCAAAACAAAACTGAAAACAGAAATAGCAACAAGGGCCGGGACCAGTTTGGCTCAATGGATAGAGCATCGGCTCAGGGTCCCGGGTTCGATTCCGGTCGGGGGCATGTACCTTGGTTGCGGGCATATCCCTAGTAGGGGGTGTGCAAGAGGCAGCTGATCGATGACTCTCTCTCATCGATGTTTCTGACTCTCTGTCTCTCTCCCTTCCTCTCTGAACAAAATCAATAAAATATATTAAAAAAAGAAAAAAGAAAAAAGAAGTAGCAACAAGGAACAGTATAGTCATAAAACAAAATACTCTTTCTATTTATAGTGTATAAAAAAATCATATAACTGCTTTTATAATATTCAGAGAACAAAACTGAATATAAGGTTTTATACAATCTAGGTATGTCAGAAAAAAACTAAAAAGGCAACCGAAACATCCCCAAACAAGGGATCGTTTTCAGTAAATTATTAAAAATTACCACAAGCAAACTTGGAAATCGACCATAATGGGGTGTGAGGAGGAATAAACTGTAAAATTACATGTACTTCATGTGATCCTAATACATAAAGAGTGCCTACAAACCACTAAGGAAAAAAATGGTCAAAAAGAAAAAAGAAAAGGAAATTCAAATGAGTCTCAACTACACACATAGTAAGAAAAATAAAAATTACAACTGCATTGAGATAATATTTTTCATCTCTCAGATTAACAAAGATCAAGAGGTCTGATAATACTGTATTGGTATGAATATGGGGAAGTTTGTACTCATACATTGCAGTGAGTGTAAATTTATACAACCCCTATCAATAAGCAATTTTACAATAGCTAACAAAACTGTAAATACATATATATATTTTTTTTTTTGACCCACCAATTATTTCTACAACAATAAGTCATAAAGGTTGATCCAGGGAGGAAACTGGTTGGCTGGGGATAGGGACAGAAGACAGTTTATTTTTATCTTTTTAAATTTTGAGCCATGTGAACACTGTTACCCATTCAAAAACTAAACTTTTTAAAAATAATGTAAATTTTAAAACACAAAAAATAAATTATGGTCCATTCATATTATAAAATGTTTTTCAGTATAGTTAATAAATAAAAGACCTAAGATAAACTATTAAGTGGGGAAGGAAAAGGAACAAAGTTTATACAGAAGGATTTCCATTTTGTTGAAAAAATAAACAGAAAAGATATTTTTGTATGCACAGAAATGATGATTGCCTCTAGGTGCTGGGATTATGGATAACTTTTTCTTCTTTACACTCTTTTGTCGTTTCCTAATTTCCTATAATGGGCATGTGTTTCATTAAAAGTAAAGAGGGGATGCCGAGACCGGTTTGGCTCAGTGGATGGAGCGTTGGTCTTCGGGCTGAGGGGTCCCAGGTTCAATTCCGGTCAAGGGCATGTACATTGGTTGCGGGCACATCCCCGGTGGGGGGGGGTGCAGGCGGCAGCTGATCGATGTCTCTCTCTCATCGATGTTTCTAGCTCTCTATCCCTCTCCCTCTCTGTAAAAAATCAATAAAATATATTTTTTTAAAAATAAAAGAGGGGGGAAAGAGAAAAAAAAATAAAGGGGGAAAACACAAAAAGCATAGCTAAAATCTTTATTTAAACTGTGAATAAATCATCCTTAATCATAGTATCACTGACCCTTACCTGACCATGACTGGTTGCTGATTCTTCCTTCAACAAAAGTTTCTCTTTCAAGCTTTTAATTGGACTTTCTTGGAAATCCTTGGTTTCTGAGTGCCAGACAGATGCCCTAGACTCTTGCCTCTCCTCCTCTTTGTCTTCATCTGCCATATCTTCTGAGATGCCTTCATTTTTTTCACTAGCCTGATTTCCTTGGCCACATTCATTCTGGATCAGAGAAGGAGGTCTAGGTAACACTGGTTCCCCAAATCCTTTTTTTTTTAAGAGCTGCCTCTGAGCCATTTTCAGGCTCTTTTGATAAACCTCCAACTGGCAGAGAATGACCTTGGTATATTGGTTAGGGTCTATTCCAGCTGGGCAAAATGGAATACCCCAGAAGTAGTGCACAGTGCCCCCACTGTTCTGGATACCTTTGGCATCTGCTGAGGCAGGCAGAAAGTGCCTAGATATGTCCCCCCTACCCTGGGCAGCTTCGTGAAAATCACATCCTCTCCCAGTACTTTCCTGTGGCTTCCCACACTGTGTGTGCTCAGCCAAGTGGCCAGTGCATCTGTCAAAACATTTAACGTTCTCATTCTCAACCACTGGCTGGCTTGACTGGTCCCAGCTTCCTGAGCTGCCAGAGACCGGCTCCTCTTCAGTGTTTTCAGTGTGGTCCCAAGGCTCCTCTCTTTTCTCAGCCTCGTTTCCCTGACTGACATGTGAGCCTTTAAACAGTGATGGAGGTACCAGCTGCCATATGCCTGTAGGTATTTGAGAAAAAGTAGGGCTAAGGACAAACTGTTTTTAATTAAGAGGGCTTGGTAAGTTCTCACTTACCAAGAACTACATAATGTGGGTAAAAGAGGCTCTTCTTTGGGTTTAATCAACCGTTGGCTTTTCCTTGGGTTTAACCAACTGTTGGCTTTTCCTTGGAGATAAAAGTATGCTAGATATTAGTGAGATCTCAACTACTTTCTGATTTAACCTCTTTAATACCACCAAAGAAATTTAGGGAATTTCAGTATATCTACTTTCAGTATGAGATCCCTGTAATATGGTTATATTTGATGAGTACAAGGAGCAGAACAGGGAGACATGCCTTCAGTGGTCGCAGAGTCTCTGGTTTTCTCTTGGTGGGATTGTGAAGATGGCCCAACGGCCAGAGCTTGAGATCTGGTAGCAGGAGCATCAGAAGGCCGGCAGCTCTGAAACAAGGAATCCCAAACCAGACCAAGTTTATTATTAAAATGGCTACACATGAAGGGTCACAGCAACAACAAAAAGGGGAGGCCACTGTCGCTAACAGAGTCTCCTTTTTAAAATGTAGATGCACAATTCAAATGAATTCCACAATTCATACTGAATGCTTACTATGTGCAAAGTACTATCCTAGGTCCTAAACCCTTTCCTAATATAGAGAAGTAGATGGCATAAATGGCTCAGGACCTGCCACTGGTACATATCCAATTTCAATTACACTTATTCAAATCACAATTTAATAATATTTGAAACATTTTAAAACTACCCATTCTTTCTCTCTGTAACCCACAGCTAGCTCTCATTCTCTTTGTTCTCTCCACAAAACAGGGGAGGTAAGTACTTTTGGTTCCTTGTTAATAGGTAATTCTTTTCAGGAGCTGCCAACCACTTTGGTTCTCCTAAGCCATGGACTGAAAATCTGTCAGATGGAAGAAAACTCTTTCATATAGAATTAGCAAAACACTTCAAATTAGGTTTATCAACAATTCAACATGGACTTTAAAATTTGTGGGAATATTTATTACTTGAAAATCCTATGCACTACTACAGCTAGTATCTAATGCAACCATAACACTGTAGATGAAAAAGTATCGCTTATCAATCCTCACAAACTTTTTCAGCATAGCATGCTTACATTTAGGCTTTCTGCAATGGCTTTCCTCAAGAGCTCCTCTTCTTCCTCCTCCTGGCTGTTCACTTCCCTAGCTTCCTGCTCACTCATTTTGAGAGCCAGAGCAAACTGTTCTTCTTCTGTCATTTCTGTAGAAGGGCAGGGAAAAAGAGGGGAGGGATACCACAAACAATGAATAAGCATGGAGGCAAAGAATAGAATTATTAAACTTTTCAAGTGAAAACACTACAGACCATGTAATACAATTTTATAATCTTATAAATGAGGAAAGTCCCCAAAAGTAAGATATTGGCCAAGGTCAGCAGCAGAAGTTACAAGAATTCTGAATTAACTAGACTGTGAGCTCCCATGAAGGCAGTTTTTGCCTATTTTGTTCACTGTTATATCTCCAGCATACAAGGGTAGGCAAAAGGTTTATAGTTGTGAGTACGTGAAACAGTTTATTCTTGTATTACTTACTTACTATTATTGTATTATTTTTTATTATTAATCTACTTTTGTCCACCTCTGTACAAAAAAGAATACCTAGCAACTGGTAGATACTCAAATTTTTGGTGAATGAATAAACAGAGGAACAGGCTTCCAGGACTTTTTGCTACCTACCAATCACACTGCTTTATGCTTGACATTTAACCAGAATAATTTACTCAATTAGAATCCTCTTGATGGGACCATTTACCCATTAGAAAAGACTTTCCAAAGTGACGAGAATGTGATCTCCAAACATCATTTCCTATTAAAAGCAACTGGGGTAGAAATGGGTGATTCAAAGTCTGTAGCTAGAAATGTAGAAGATGAGCTGAAGTATCTGTCATATCTGTGAACAAGGAAGCTATAAAATACTACCAGGGTCATATCAAAAAACTTTTACGAGCCAGAGTAAAAAGGTTCTCGCTGGCCAAAACTAGAACAACCAGTTGGGGGTGGCATGTAGGAGGCAACCAATCAATAATTTTCTCTCATCATTGATATTTTTATATTTCTCTCCCTTTCTCTCTGAAATCAATAAAAATATATTTAAAATAATAATCATAGTTAAATTATGTGTTATTATATATTATTTAAAGAAACTCAAAACTTCAATTTCAATTATTGAACTCAATCATTTTATGTATATTTCACTGGCAACACAGAGCCACATAACTTGACAAAGCCACCATTAAAAATTTACTTTAACCACTCAGAATTAAATCAGAATTAAAAGGACACTCTCATTTACTAGTTACTATCTGTTATTTTCAAATGTTCTAAGACTAAAGTTCAATAAACACTGCTGTTTACTAAAACGTTTTACCTTACCTCTCTACTAGATAAAAACTCAACCAGAAAAAGAAAAAGAAAAAAATTATAATCACACCTGGGAGCATGCTCCCTTAAGGAAAATGTCAGCAAGTTTCAACCTTATCAGCATTAAATATTACCTTATCAAATGATTCTGCTAAGCTAAACAAGAGAAGTACAAAATCTGTGTGAAGCTGATTATGTTGGTTATAATTTACAATAATTAACATCTCCCAACATTCAGGTTAACCTCCCACTGAGACATGCAAACAGACTATTAATAATCCAGAAACAAAACTAGATAGTATATACTATCAAGAAAACTTGTATAATTTGTGAGTACTTAAAATGGCTGAAAGAGAACATTTGGAACAATGGAAAAATAAAGACTTTCTCCTTTTTTTGGTACAACACTATGACTTATAATTTCTAATCAATTCTTAACACAAAAACAAAAACATACGTGCAATTTTTCTTTTAGCCAAACACTTTGCTCTATTCAACTGTTTTGTCTTCATTTTCTGCAATCCATTTTCCTCCTGTGGTTCCTATTTCAAAACAAAGAAATATGATCAGATGGCTACCATAAAAAGTGGTACTCTTTCCATTTCTTCTACAGCTTGGAGGCTGCTGAGGTTCTGAAGAATCAAGGGTTGTAAACATTCACAGAAAACATCAGTAAAAGATCCTGTATAGTACTGCCATGGCTGGGTGGCTAGGTGAGTTGGGATCACGGTCTCACACACAAAAAAGGTTTCAGGTTTGATTTCTGGTTTGGGGTTCAATACCTGGGTGGGGTGCACTCAGGAGGCAACCAATCAAAGTTTCTCTTTAATATCAATGTTTTTCTCTCCCTTCTTCTCTCTCTAAAATCAATTAAAATAAAAAAAAGATCCTTTACAGTACCAAAAAAAATGTAGATCTGTAATCAATAAATATCACAAAAATAAAAAATATTTAACATATTGACATTATCTGTCATACACATGCTCATGTAAAATGTGGACTATCTGCAAAATAGTAGTAAGCATGCACCCAAGTTCAGAAAAGGCTTGATTGAAAGTTTAAAAATCACCCTGGCTGGTATTGCTCAATGGCTAGAATGTCAGCCCATGCACTAAAGGGTTGCGGGTTCAATTCCCAACCAAGGGCACATAGCTAGGTTGCAGGTTCAATCCCTGATTATGCCTAATCAAGAGACAACCAATCCATATGTTTCTCTCACATCAATGTTTCTCTCTATCTCTCTCCCACACCCTCCCTCTCTAAAAATCAATAGAAAGAATATCCTTGGATGAGGATTAACAAAACCAAAGAAAAGAAAGTTTAAAAAATAATAATGTTTTAACTCAGTGCAAATTTTTTTAATCAGTACTTCAAAAAGCAAGAGAACAACTTGGAGAAAGTAAGCAACATATTTGTCAGACAAAGGGCTAATTTTCCTCTTATAGTCATACATTGCACAAAGACATTTAACTCAACAACATACTGCATATATTACAGTGGTCTCATAAGATTATAATGGAGCTGAAAAATTCCTATCACTGAGTGACATCATAGCCAATGTAACATCATACGCAACATATTACATGTTTTGATGATGCTGGTGTAAACAAATCTACACTGCTGCCAGTCATAAAAAAAAATAAATAAATAAAATAAAAATTAAAAAAAGCATAGTACAGCCAAAATCGTTTTGGCTCAGTGAATAGTGTGTCGGCCTGTGGACTGAAATGTCCCAGGTTCGGTTCCGCTCAAGGGCATATACTTTGGTTTCGGGCACATCCCCAGTAGGGGGTGTTCAGGAGGCAGCTGATCGATGTCTCTCTCTCATCGATGTTTCTAACTCTCTATCCCCTCTACCTTCCTCTCTGTAAAAAAATCAATAAAATATATTAAAAAAAAAAAAAAAAGCATAGTACATACTATCTATGTATATAAAAGCTAAGTGACTGTCGGGTTGGTACACATGATGTGCACTGGCAATTTAAAAATAAACATGACTCATGTATGCACAATACATATAAAGAACTCACTGATGTGTGTGAAAGGCTACATGACCAACCTGACACTTCTATTATAAAGGGTGAGGAGCGATATTAAAATATTTCTTCTAATTAATTTCTTTTCAATGTGCACAAATCTATGCATTGGGCCACTAGTTGGGTGGCTCAGTGAGTTGGGATCATTGTCTCACACACAAAAAAGGTTTCAGGTTTGATTCCTGGTCAGGACACATACCTAGGTTTTGGGTTCAGGTTCCCTGACCTGGCACTGGGGCGGGGTGGGGGTGGGGGGGCTGCCTAAGGTCCCCCACTCTGACACCAGGGCGGGGGATGAGGCCTGAGGTCCCCTATCAAGCCCTGCCAGGTGGAGGGCATGGCCTGAGGCCCGTCAAACCCCTCGGGGCGGGAGAGGGAAGGGTATTGCCTCAGGTACCTGCTGATTGCTCATTAAGGCTCCTTATGGGAACTTGGCCTCAGCTGTGGGTGAAGCCATCTTTGTGACATAGTGAAGGTCAATTAGCATATTCCGTCTTTATTATATAGGATTCCTTCTACTTACCAAAAAAGTTTGCTATAAAACAGTATGCCAGGTTACAACAGCAGTAACCTCATACATCATGCTTACCATATATCTTGATTGCATTATTTTCTCTTATTCTTGATTAGTCTTGTGGTGTTTTATACAGTAGCATGCTGTACAAGTTTATAGCCTAGGAGCAATAAGCTATACTATATAGCCTAAGGTGTATAAGACTAGGTTTGTGTAAGTATACGGTACTCTATGATTTTCACACGAGATCTCCTAAAAATGCATTTCTCAGAATGTGATGTTAAGTGGTGCATGACTATATATAAAGACCTTTTACAAATCAATTAACAAAACAATATTTAGTCTCTTCTCATAGGAAAAGACATGTTAAGACACATCCTAGAAAACCATAGCCAAGGGGCTCATAAGTATATGAAAAGATGCTCAATTTCACTTTGGAAATGCAAATCAAAACAGTTTTATAGATACTATATATACTTTTTTTACCTATACTAGGTAAAAATTAAAATATTTTATAAAACATTACTGTGGGGAAACAGGTACTCGGATGGAATATAATGGATGCAATATTCTAGTTTAGAAAAAAAATTGAAATAACCTCTAAAATCATAAATATACAACACACTCTTCATTCAGCAATATACTTCTAGGAATTTATTCTACAGATATTTAGCCTTCTTGTGAATAATTATGTTCAGAGTAGAATGTTTTGTCATTGTAAAAGACTGTAAACAACCTCAATTAATGCTACTCAAAGTATGATCTATAGGTGAAAATCAGCACACTGATTGTTTCTGGTCTGCAACAAAATAAGCACAGAAATTGAGAATAACCATTTAGAAACTTTTACAGCAATCTGACATTGCTACAACATCCATGCAGGATAAGAGGATTTACACAGTGAAAAGCTGCAGGCTAGTCATTTGCAAAAACTCCAAATTATAATATGTGCTGTTTTAACCTTAGTTAAAATCCAAAGTATATAAATATCTAAGAAAATATAGACATTTATTTATAACTTATATTAACTATATTTTTAATCAAGCCCATTTTTAAAGTTATACTTTAATATTAGTAAATGAGAAAAATAAACTTTATATTATTTATTTTTAATCCTAATTTACAGATTTCAAACAAACTTTACTGGACTTTTGTCATCAAGAAAACACAAATCTTTCTGAAATAGCAATAGCAGTAAAAAAATAATGATCCAAGTAATTGTGAAGAAATAAAGGGCAAAAATTTAATTCTAGTTTTACTCAAAAGTATGATCCTTCACATATTGAGTTCAGTTTTAAACCCACAATTGATAATGTAGTATAACAACCAGAGTGTCTTATTTCTAAATACTAACTAAAAAATTATGAAAACTTAAACATTTATATAGAAGATAAAGTTCAAAATAAATAAAAAATCTGAGTATAAATTAATAAGCTCACACAGATGCTTAATACTTCATATATAAATATTAGTACTTTAAAGTACTAATTAGTACTTATAAATATTATATTTACTAAGAAAAAAAACTATATAGATAATTAGTTAAAGATGGCAAAGTTGTCTACTTGGATATAATGTGTGAGTCTGAAGCAAAGAAGGTAGCTCAAGTACCATATTCCAATGGCAACATAGCTTAATATAAGAAAGCAAATCATGATATGGAAGATGAATTAATAAAACAAAGCTAGCAACATATTTTCATTGCAACCTCATGAGTGCACAGATATTGGCAAGCAGCAATACATTTAGGAAATGTGTGCTAAGCTTAATGGTAGAAAAATTCTTTCAGCTTTATTTTTGACAAACATTTTAAGTTCTGAACTGTTTAAAACCATAAAGGGTTAAACTTGTACATTTTTATGTAGCCAGAAGTAACAACAGGAAAATTTCCTAGATTAAGGAACTTGTGCACAGAATGTTCCTGAATGACATACAATTTACTCATTTACATTCTAAGACAAAACAAAACAACAAAGTTTTTTTAAAACTGCACAAAAATACCAAAACATGAAAAGAACATGAAGTGTATATTAAAAATTAGTTGGTATGATAGTTTCATGAGCAAGTGCTAGTATACTTTAAAGAACAAAAGATTCTTTTATTATCTAAACTGCGGTAGGACATAAAAAGAAAATTAAAAGCTCCCTTCTATATTATAGCATAAATCTGAAACTAAAATCTGATGTAGTAAAAAAAAAAAAAAAAGGGGGGGGGGAGGGGACAATTATATAAAAATCAATGCCACTAGAAATATAAATGCAAACCTCATAAATGATATGAAAAAGTAAATTCCATATTATGTTAATGTAATACTAAGTAAAATGTTCTCCAGAAATGCAAAAATATTCCAACATTAGACTATATATTAACCAATTAAAATATAGTTAATTAAAGGAGGAAAACTATGCCATCATCTGGCTAAATAATGAAAAGGCATTTGATTAAACATTCATTCCTAAAAATACTAATAAAAAATAAGCAATTAAAAGATATTTCTATAATAAATAAATGTAGAAATAAGAAACAAATAACATCAGAATACTTCCACAATTAAATTCAAAATCAAAATAAAGATATACTCTATCACTGCTAACAACAAACATTATTCTAGAGGCTATAGTCAATGCAATGAAACAAAAAAATTAGCTAGAAGTACTAGAAAGGAAGAGAGAAAATGATCATTAGTAGCAGATATAAGTGCCTACCTAAATAACCCAAGATAATAACTGAACAATTCCAAAAATATGTGACAGATCAATAGAACAAAATTTTTAAATCTAAAACAAAAAAATTATAGACAAGATTTTAATTTATAATAAAGATAAAATTTAGGAAAAGGTAGATTATAGAAAAATGTTGGTAGAACTACCTAACCACTAAGACTCAGTTGTGCAACATATATATATATATATATATATATATATATATATATATATATATATATATATATACTAGAGGCCCGGTACACAAAATTTATGCATGGAGGCGGGGGGGGGGGGGGGGGCGCGTGTACCTCAGCCCAGTCTGCACCCTCTCCAATCTGGGACCCCTCAAGGGATGTTCGACTGCCCGTTTAGGCCCAATCCTAAACAGGCAGTCGGACATCCTTCTCACAATCCAGGACTGCTGGTTCCCAACTGCTCACCTGCCTGCCTTCCTGATTTCCCCTAACTGCTTCTGCTTGCCAGCCTGATCACCCCCTAACAACTCCCATGCCAGCCTGATTGATATCTAACTGCTCCTCTGTTAGCCTGTTTGCCCCCAACTTCTCCCCTCTGCCAACCTGGCCACCCCTAACTGTCCTCCCCTGCAGGCATGATTGCCCCCAACTGCCCTCCTTTGCAGGCCTGGTCCCTCTCAACTGCCCTCCCTTGCAGGCCTGATGCCTACCAAGTATCCACCCCTACTTGCCTGATCACCCACAACTGCCCTCCCTTGTAGGCCTGGTCTCTCTCGACTGCCCTCCCCTGCTGGCCATCTTCTGTCCACTTGGGGGCAGGATCTTTGACCATATGGGGGCAGCTACCTTGTTTGTTGGAGTGATGGTCAATCTGCATATTACTCTTTCATTAGATAGGATAGAGGCCTGGTATATGGGTGGGGGCTGGCTGATCTGCCCTGAAGAATGTCCTGGATCAAGGTGGGGGTTCCCTTGGGGTGTGGGGCAGCCTGGGCAAGGGGCCTATGGTGGTCTGCAGGCAGCCATTTCTGTTGGAATTTATTTATCTTCTATAATTGAAACTTTGTAGCCTGGAGTGAAGCCCTGAGCCAGCCAGGGCTGCAGAAGCTTGGCTTCCTCCATCGCCCGGGGCAACCCTAGCCAACCTGCTGTTCAATTGTTTGGTTGTCCCTCACTAACCCCCCTGCCGGCCTGGTCAACCCACACAGCATGCTTGTTCAGTTGTTTGGTCATTTCTCACTAACCCCCCTGCCAACCTGGTCATAGGCAACCATCTTCTGAGAGCATGATGATCAATTTGCATATTACCTCTTTATTATATAGGAGGGTATCCAATAGAGTTATGAAAAAATTTTCAATATTTCTGATTATTAAAAATATACAACTTATTGATCATCAAATGGGGAAAACTTTAATAGTTGTAATAGTTGCCGAAACCGGTTTGGCTCAGTGAATAGAGCGTCGGCCTAAGGACTGAAGGGTCCCGGGTTCAATTCCAGTCAAGGGCATGTATCTTGGTTATGGGCACGTATCTTGGTTATGGGCACATCCCCAGTAGGGGGTGTGCAGGAGGCAGCTGATTGATGTTTCTCTCTCATCGATGTTTCTAACTCTCTATCCCTCTCTTCCTCTCTGTAAAAAAATCAATAAAATATATATTTTTTAAAATAGTCGTAATAGTCTTGGCAAGGGGACAAGAAATAAACTGTTGATAAGAATATAAGTAAGGTTAGCCGGGACCGGTTTGGCTCAATGGATAGAGCGCTGGCTTGGGGACTGAAGGATCCCGGGTTCGATTCCGGTCAAGGGCATGTATCTTGGTTGCGGGCATATCCCCAGTAGGGGGTGTGCAAGAGAGCTGATCGATGACTCTCTCTCATCGATGTTTCTAACTCTCTATCTCTCTCCCTTCCTCTCTGTACAAAAATCAATAAAATATATTTAAAAAAAATATATATATATATATAAGTAAGATTAGACTGTGAAGGTTCTGTAGAGTAAACTGTATTAAAGTTCTAAACTAATCTTGTAGGTATTAGTCACAAATTTTTAAGCAATCAAGTACAAAGATATAAAATCTAAAATCTTAAAAGGAAGTTGGAGTAAGCTAAGTGAAATGCAGAGAGAAAAAGCTGACAGTGCAGAAGCAAGTTCAGAGTATATTGCAAGAACTCAAATAACAGATGATTAAAATGAAACTGAGTAAAAATTGCAAGGTCTGGCAAGCTGGCATTAAGGTTGTTACAACACAAACCAGTCTTCGCTAACAAGGCCTAGTTTGAGACCTAGAACTCCACACTTCAAAATACTGACCTCTCCATCACTATCAGATATCACAATGAGTGCATCCTCCAGTTTACGCTTCCTCCTCACACTGACAGGACTGGAAGTTTCTGCATCTTTCTTCTCCAAGCTCTGAGCTTCAGGGGCTTCTTTAATTTTTTTCTTTCTTCGTGGCATCCTTCTGTCTGAAAACATGGACAAATAATTCATTCAAAGTATAAGTTTTCTAACCCTAGCCAGATTGGCTCAGTGGATAGTTTGCCTGTGGACTGACGGGTACAAAGTTCAATTCCAGTGAAGGGCACATGCCTGGGTTACTGGCTTGATCCCCAGTAGGGGGTGTGCAGAAGGCAGCTGATCAATGGTTCTCTGTCATCACTGATGTTTCTATCTCTCTCTCCCTCTCCCTTCCTCTCTGAAATCAATTAAAAAAAAAAAATTTAAGTATAAGTTTTATAGATGCTATTTGTAATTTAGTCATATATTATAAAAGAAAAGATATACTTTAACCAATAAAGTAAAACTGGATTCTGAACTTTTCCACTACTCTTTAATAAAATTTTAATAGGAATAATATGACAAATTATCCTCGTTCCTTAAACACTGACTCAGATCATTGGTTTTCTTGACTGCATATAATTTATCTAAAAAGATTTTTTAATACCAATACCTCAACCTGATAAAAATATATCTCAAAAAAAACCAACAGTACTAACATAGTACTTAAAGATAAAAGACTAAATGTTTTCTCCTTAAGATAGGAATAAGACAAGAATGTCTACTTTCATCCTTTCTATTGAATTTTATACTGAAAATTTTAGGTAGATCAATTATTCAAGAAGAAATAAAAGACACCAAGCTGAAAAGGATGAACTAAACTATCATCATTTGCTTATAACATAATCTTATAATTTTTTTAAAATCCACAAAATACTAAAATGAATTAATTCAGCAAGATTACACAATATAAGGTCAATATACAAAACACACACACACACACACACACACACACACAAAAACACTAGCAATGAACAATCCAAAAATGAAATTTGAATTCTAACAGCTTAGGGATGAATTTAATGAAGGAAGTAGATTTGCAAATGGAAACTTTAAAATCCCTGTAGGCTTTTTTTGGGAAATAGACAGCTGATCCTAAAATTCACATGGAAACAGAGGGTCCCAATCTTGAAAAAAGTGAAATAATTTTAAGGAACCACATATCTCAATTTCAAAATTTACCACAGCCCTAGCTGGTTTGGCTCAGTGGATAGAGTGTTGGCCTGTGGACTAAAGGGTCCCGAGTACGATTCCAGTCAAGGGCACCTGCCAGGTTGTGGGCTTGATTCCCAGTAGGGGACGTGCAGAAAGCAGCCCATCAATGACTCTCTCTCATCATTAATGTTTCTCTCTCTCCCTCTCCCTTTCTAAAATCAATTTTTAAAAATGTTTTTCAAAAAAAACTTTATCACAAAGCTAGTTAACAAGACGCTCTGGCACACTGGCACAAGGACAGACAAAAATCAATGGTACAGAGCTGAGAATCCAGAAAATACCCACACATTGACAATTTTCATCAAAGATGCCAAAATACTTGGAAAAATTATAGTCTTTTCAATAAATGTAGATATCCACATACAAAAGAATGAAATAGAACCTCTACCTATCATATACAAAAAGTTGCAAGAAATGGAATTAGATTCTTAAGAGAAACATAGGCATAAATTTTTGGGATCTTGAATAGGAAATGGTTTGTTAAATATGACATCAAAAGCATAAGCAACAAGCCAAAACCGGTTTGGCTCAGTGGACAGAGCATCGGTCTGTGGACTGAGGGGTCCCAGGTTCGATTCTGGTCAAGGGCATGTATACTGGTTGCGGGCACATCCCCGGTAGGGGGTGTGCAGGAGGCAGCTGATTGATGTTTCTCTCTCATTGATGTTTCCAGCTCTCTATTCCTCTCAGTAAAAAATCAATAAAATATATTAAATTTAAAAAATAAAAATAAATTTTAAAAAAAGCATAAGCAACAACAAAAATAAAGAAACTGGGCTTTTTTTTTAATCAAAAACTTTGCCCAGCCAATGTGGCTCAGTAGTTGAGTATCAACCTATGAACCAGAACACATGTGCCTAGGTTGTAGGATCAATCCCCAGTATGGGACAGCCAATGATTCTCTCTCATCATAGATGTTTCTCTCTCTCTCCCTTTCTTTCTGAAATTAATTTTAAAAATATTTTTAAGCCGAAACCGGTTTGGCTCAATGGATAGAGCGTCGGTCTGCGGACTAAGGGGTCCCAGATTTGATTCCAGTAAAGGGCAAGTTCATTGCTTGCGGGTACATCCCCAGTGGAGGGTGTGCAGGAGGCGGGTAGTTGTTTCTCTCTCATCGATGTTTCTGGCTCTCTGTCCCTCTCCCTTCCTCTCTGTAGAAAATCAATAAAATATATATTTTTAAATGTATTTTTTAAAAAACAATCTTGTGCTTCAAACCATATTAAGAAATTGAGCCCTGACTAGGTGGTGCAGTAGGTTGGAGCATCATCCTGTACACCAAAAAGTTGCTAGTTTGATTCCAGGTCAGGGCACATACCTAGGTCACGGTTCAATCCCCCGGTGGGGCACATTCAGGATCACTATTTCTCTCTCATATCGATGTTTTTCTCTCTCTCCACCTTCCTCTCTCTAAAATCGATAAAAGGATCCTTGAGTAAGGATTTTTTTTTTAAATATATTTTATTGATTTTTTACAGAAAGGAAGAGAGAGGGATAGAGAGTTAGAAACATCGATGAGGGAGAATCATCCATCAGCTGCCTCTTGCAAACCCCCTACTGGGGATGTGCCCGAAACCAAGGTACATGCCCCTGACCGGAATCGAACCTGGGACCTTTCAGTCCTCAAGCCGACGCTCTATCCACTGAGCCAAACCGGTTTCGGCAGGATTTTTTTTTTTTGAGATTATTACAAATGTCCATCTTTCTCCCTTCCACCTGGTTCCCACCCTGCCCCAGGTCTTCACCACCCAACTGTGTCCATAGCTAAGATCTTTGGTGAATCTCTCCCCCCTCCCTTCCCCGCCCTTTCCCTCTGAGATTCATGTCTGTTCCATGTTTCCATCCTTGATTCTATTTTATTCACCAATTTATTTTGTTCATTAGATTGCTTGTCCATTTATTTTGATTTTTAGGTTCAATTGTTAATAAATATGTATTGCCATTTTATTGTTCATATTTTTAATCTTTTTTCTCTTCTTCTTCCTCTTCTTAAAGAACTAGAGTCCCAGAGCATGAATTGGAGGAGGGGGTCCCTCAGCCCAGCCTGCACCCTCTCAGAGTCCAGGAGCCCTCAGGGGCAAGAGGCAACCCAGCCATCAGGAGAAGGCAATGCCCCCACCACACCTCTGCTGCTGCCACTGCCAGCAGTGCAAGCCTTGGCCAGCTCTGGTTACCTGAGCCTCAGGCCAGCCCTGGGCAGCTACACAGCCACCATCCAAAGCTTGCCTGTGCCGTGGGCCGGCCAGAGGCGGTTGGGCAGCTGCCATCCAAGGCTTGCCTGAGCCTCAGTCAGTGGGGGGTGCAGGAGGACCCGAGGCCCCTGGCGGGGCTGAGGGGACTTTGGCGGCAGGGGTACAGAGTGGCTGGCCCCAGCTGAGGAAGGGAGGATACTCTCAATGACATGGGTTATAACTTCCAATTTGTTAGCACAGTCAGGCTTCAACTTTGGGGGAGGGAAAAAGAAAGGGATGGGCAGCTTGTTGGAGGAGCCTGGGCGAGCTGTCAGTGCAGGGTGCAGAAGGACCCAAGGTCTCTGGTGGGGCCGGCCTCACCCCTGCTGTGGGTGCTGCCATCATGTGATGGTGTGATGGTCAATTTGCATATTATCTCTCTGTAATATAAGATACCCTTCAATAGTTCATGTAATACTGGTTTAGTGATGGTGAACTCCTTTAGCTTATTCTTATCTGAAAGGTCTTTATCTGACCCCCAATAAATGATAGCTTTGCTGGGTAATCTTGGTTGTAGGTCCTTGCTATTTATTACTTTAAATCTTTTTTTGCCACGCCCTTCTGGCCTGCAAAGTGTCTTTTGAGTAATCAGCTGACAGTGGTAGTAGCTAACTGCTTTTCTCTTGCTGCTTTTAAGAATCTCGTCTTTAACTTTTTACATTTCTATTATGATGTGACTTGGTGTGGGCCTCTTTGGTTTCATCTTGTTTGGGACTCTGTGCTTTCTGAACTTTTATGTCTACTTCCTTCACCAGGTAGAGGAAGTTTTCTGTCATTATTATTATTATCAAACATGTTTTTATTATTCTGTATAAGCTGTTTTTAATCACTATTTATACGTTAGGAAATGTATTCAAAATCGAACAGTTGTTAACTTGGTAATTGACTATGTTGAGAATTGAAGCCCCATGTGTCTGATTCTAAAGACATTCTTTGATTGAATTACACAGCAATGCCTTCTCCCTGACTGGAAAAAATAAAGACAGAAGCATACTACTTCCCCTTTTCCTGGGTGTCACTTCTATCTCAGTAAGACAGAGTGGCTATACAGGAACCCTGGAGTCAAGGTGCCTGGACTCAACGCCAGGTCTACCTCTGAGCTGTGTCACTGATCATCTGCAAACTGAAGGTCCCGCATCTACTCATGAAGATTAAATAATCGCGTTTGTGGAAAAGGATAGAAGCAACTGGTCTGTGGTACAGAGGAGAGGCCACAGTTCCGCTGGAGGGGGGAGTGGTAAACGATAAGGATTTCCAAGGAAAATCTGGCAAAGTAGTGAATGCAGGGATCGCTCCGACCCAGCAACAGCCCAAGGGAGGGGCGAGGGGCGGTACCCGGCCTCCGGGCAGGGCGCGGCGCTGCCGCCTCCCGGCTTCCGCGGGAGGAAGAGCCTCCGAGGGGCGGGCGGGAGTAAGAACTGCGACGGGGATGCCCTGGAGGAGGAAGGCCGCACCCCCAGGGGGAGGGGCGGGCCAGCACCGGGGGCGGAAGCCGACAGGCGACCGTAGGGCCCACCCCGGCGTTGGGAGGCGCCTCCCCGGCGTCCCAAACGGCCACCTCGGTGTCCCGAGAGCGTCGAGAGGGCCCTACCCGCTGGTCAGAGGCGCCCCTGCGAGTGCGGAGCGGCCGCGGGCCCCGCGCGGGAGAGGCGGCGGGGAGAGGGCGGCCCGGAGAGTGCGGAGGCGGCAGGTACTCACCGACCGGCCCTCGCGGTTGGCCGAGCCCCTCCTCCCGGTGCGGGGGTCACGGGCGTCCGCACCACGTCAGGAGCGGGGGGCGGGCGGGCGGAGGCGCGCGCGAAGTCGGGCTCTGCCCGGAGGAGGCGCGGGCGTCCGGGGACGAAACCAACGAGCCCCGCGCGGGGGAAGCCGCCGCCAGGACGTACCAACTGCTACTGGGGGGGGGGCGCCACCGGGGTGCGCCCTGGAGGCGGGCCCTGCCTGCTCCCGCGGTGTGTGGTTCCAGGTGTTACCCCAGCACTGTGAAGGAAACCGGAGTAGCACAGAGCCCGCAAAACACTCTAGTTAACCCTTCAAGGTTTTCTCTGGCGCTTCGAACCTCTTCTGGCCCTTTTGCATGTATCCATTTATACCGACATTATCTGTTCACGTGACCGCTTGAAAACTCTCGGGTAAATGTTACAGTCTGATCATTTCAGGGGCGGGGGAATTCTGGGAAACACTTGGGGATGTCGGGTGAAGTGTAACATCAGAACAGCCACTTTGGTGAAAAATTTTTTATGATAATCTTTAGGTAGATTTACTTTTTTTTTGGGGGGGGAGGTGTTTAAAATGTGCATGACCCAGCAATTTCATGTTCAAAAAAAAATAGAGAAACTGCTACAGGTGTACACAAAAGGACATGTTTATATTCAAGCCTGCTCCCTTTCAAAAAAAAAAAAAGAAAGAAATAACAGAAATGTCCAATACGACATGGATGATGAGATATGTTCCCAAGATAAAAGATTACGATAAAATAAGTAGCAACATTTGATAGCTCATAGCATGAGTTACTGAAATGGTGACATGCCAACAAATTACATACACTGTAAAATGACATAAAGTATACTTTTAAAGTACATAGAATAACAGTATATCCTGATTATGGAAAACGTGCATATAGAAAATGACCTGCATGGATAGATGAATATACAATGTGATCATGTTATGAGGGCAGGAGGCAGGAGGGGTGGAAGCCAGGATAGCTGGGGAGAGGGGATAAACTGGACTTCAGATCTGTCATGATGTTACTGGAAAGGGGACCTGGCCCTAAGTGGTTCTGCCTCAGGCTGGCCCATAATGTGTTGGTCCTTGACTTCATGTAAAAAAAAAAAAAAAATCACAACATTAATTCAGGTGCTTTTGAGAGTATTTTTATTAAAACTGAAGATGGTGAAACAAGAGTTTATGACAGAAAAAACAACAGGAGAGCATAGGTGAGCTGCTTTGGCTCTCTGAAAATATTATAAGAAAGAAAAGAGCCTAGGTAGAGCTGCTTTAGCTCTCTGAGAAGTCAGAGAAAAGGGGCCCTGGAGACAGGTTCAGGGGTTTAGCCTGGGACAAGCTGCTGCTGCCCGTTGCTCACTTGGTTGCTGCAAGTCTCATGGGGACCCCTGGAGTTTAGGAAATGCACCTTTGGGGGGGAAGAAGAGGGGGTAGGGAAAGACAGGGGCATGTTCCAGGGAGGGGGAACTCATTCATTTTGGGAACCTACATTTTGAGGGGTTTTTTTAAAGGCTGGGAGTTTAGAAGCAGTCTTAAGGATCTCAACAGAATAGTCGTAAGCTTTTCCAGGTGTACCCTTTCAGGCTCACGGTCTCCACTGACTGGTTGGCACAAGGGCAGGAGATCATTAGTCATTGCAGCTGATTCTGGCGATGCCCACCTGGTTTTGCTGCTTTTTTGGACCTGATGCTGAAATACAGCTTAGTCCTAGATGTTATCTCTAGGGAGGTGACCTGTAGCTGGGGGTAAATTGCTCAGCCAGTTTGTTCAGCTGTCTCAGGTTCCCCATTCCACTTGACATCCTATCCTTTTGGGGCATCCTACCTCAAAGAAGATTGGTGATGCAGTTGTTAGCAGCCATATTGTAACCCTAAGGAGAGCCAGTCAATGGTAGGCAACCTCTAAGATGACCTCCAATTGTAATGGAGTGAAATGCTCAGTCTCTGACTCTTATCTTAATTCTATTAGGTCTAGTAATAATTAATGTCGTTTTCTAATACTTTTTTAAATCGAATTTATTTAAACAATACAACAAAATTTAATCAACAATATAGTTGCCATTGTTTTCTACTACTTGTGCCCAACGCTCAGGAAGCATTTTAATCCCTCTGTTGTAAAATTCTTGTGATTTTGATGCAAAAAATTCGGTCAATGCATTTTTGAGGCATTCTTCATTATTAAATTTTTTTCCAAGAAGAAAGTTTTGCAAAGAATGAAACAAATGGTAATCGGAAGGGGCAATATCAGGAGAATATGCAACTTCCCATTCCAACTGGCGCAGTTTTTCAGCAGTGATTCTTGCAGTATGCGGTCATGTGTTATCGTGGTGAAGAATTACGCCCTTCCGATTAATCAGCGCGGGTTCTTTTTCTCTTAAAGCTTGGGCTCACCTTTCCAATTGGGCACTATACACTGCACTTGTAATGGTTTGGGTAGATGGTAAAAGTTCATAATGAAGAATTCCTTTAAAATTCCACCAAACACACAACATCACTTTTTTCGCATGCAAGTCAGGTTTTGGCGTGGGCTGCGGAGCCTCATTTTTGTCCAACCATTGAGGCCGCCTTTTCAAATTAACATACAGCACCCATTTTTCATCTCCGGTAACAATTTGCTCTAAAAACGGCAAACGGTTTTGACGAGAGAGGAGCGAACTGCAAATTGTGACTCTTTGATTACGGTTGTTGTCGGTCAACTCATGAGGAACCCATTTTCCAAACTTTTGGACTTTGCCAAGTGCACGCAATTGATTGGAAATTGTTTTTTGTGAACAATTTAAAGTTGTCGCAAGCTCTTATTGGGTAATTTGAGGATTTTGCACCAAAAGAGCTTAAAGAGCTTCTTGATCAAAATTGGACACATGGCCTCGACCACTCTTGTCATCTAACGAAAAATTTCCCTCGCGAAATTTCTCAAACCAATGCTGGCATTTTCTGGCGCTAACTGCATCTTGACCAAGAGCACTACAGATGTTTTTTGCAGCCTCACTTGCTTTTCTTCCTAATTGGAACTCGTAAAGCATGCAGTGCCGAATATGCTCTTCATCTGCCATCTTCTTAGCCCTAGTTTTGCAACAAAAACCAAACCAAACACAAACTTTTTCAAGCAAAACTTGCTAATTGCACTTCACACGTTCTGTAGATACCACGTGTTTGAAGGTTATGTCAATACAAGTCAACACCAAGCAAGATTTTAAACGAATGTTTAAAAACGACATTAATTATTACTAGACCCGATAGCTTGCATTTTTCCCAGGGCTTTCAGGCAAATAGCTCCTGCCATAGATATGCTAACCATTACAGGAATTTTGCTGGAGGCTTGACTTTTTGGAATAATAGGAGTTCAAGTCCAATTCCCAGCCAGGAAACATGCCCAGGCTGCAGCTTGATTTTTAATGTGGGGCATGTGGGAGGCAACCAATCAATAATTATCTCTCATCACTTATGTTTTTATCTCTCTCTCCCTCTCCCTTTCTCTCTGAAATCAATAAAAATTCTATATAATAAAAGCCTAATATGCTAAGTGTTTGGTCGTCCTGTTGTCCATTCAACCAATCAAAGCATAATATGTTAACGATATGCTAAAGCCACTCAACCACTTGCTATGATGTGCACTGACCACCAGAGGGCAGATGCTCTGACCAGTAGATTAGCTTGCTGCTGGGGTCTGGCCAATTGGGACTGAGTGAGGCAGGCCAGATACACCCCGGAGCCCTCCCACAGTGCCTCCCCAGCTAGCCAACCCCTTGCATCCCTCCTTAGCCCCAATCGTGCACCAGTGGGGTTCCTTGGCCTGTCCTGCACCCTCTTGCAATCTGGGACCCCCAGGGGATGTTGGAGGCCAGTTTTGGCCCAATCCTGCAGGCATAAAAGGCTAATATACACATCAACTGAACAGTGGAACAACCAGCACTAATCACCAGGGGGAAGATGCTCAACACAGGAGCTGCCCCCTAGTGGTCAGTGCTCTTCCACAGGGTGAGCACCGCTAAGCCAGAAGCTAGGCTTATAGGTGACGAGCGCAATGGGGGTGGCAGGAGACTCTACCACCTCCACAGCAGCGCTAAGGCCAGGGAGTGGGCCTACGCCATCAGTCAGACATTCCCCAAGGGCTCCTGGACTGCAAGAGAGTGCAGACCAGGCAGGGGGATCCCCCGCCACCAAGTGCATGAATTTTGTGCACCGGGCCTCTAGTCCTATATAATAAAAGAGTAATATGCAAATTGAACACCACTCCACTACACCCACAAGCCACACCCACCAGCCAAATCACAGCAAGTATGCAAATTAACCCAGCCAAGATGGCTGCGGCCACCGAGAAAGCAGGAGAGAGGCTTGGGTTTCCCAGGCAGTAGAGGAAGCCAAGGTTCCCACACACCCTGCCCAGCACAGGCCTCCACTTAAGGCTACAAAGTTTCAATTATAGAAGATAAATTCCAGATACCAGGGCCTCTCCTTGGGTCGCCAGGGGGCATGGCCAGCCCACAGGCCCCTCACTCAGGCTGCCCCACACCCCAAGGGAACCCCCATCCTGATCCAGGACACCCTTCAGGGAAGACCAACTGACACCCACCCATGCACCAGGCCTCTATCCTATCTAATAAAAGAGTAATATGCAGATTGACTATCACTCCAACATACAAGATGGCTGCCCCCATGTGGTCAAAGACCCTCCCCCATGTGGACACCAGATGACCAGCACAAGATGGCCTGCAGGAGAAGGCAGTTTAGAGGGACCAGGCCTGCAAGGGAGGGCAGTTGGGGGTGATCAAGCCTGCAGGGGAGGACAGTTAGGGGTTACCAGGCTGGCAGAGGAGGGAAATTGGGGCAAACAGGCTGGCAGGGGAGCAGTTAGACATCAATCAGGCTGGCATGGGAGTTGTTAGGGGGTGATCAGGCTGGCAGGCAGAAGCAGTTAGGGGAAATCAGGAAGGCAGGCAGGTGAGCAGTTGGGAGTCAGCAGTCCTGGATTGTGAGAGGGATGTCCCACTGCCAGTTAGACATCCCTCAAGGGGTCCCAGATTGGAGAGGGTGCAGGCTGGGGTGAGGGACACTCCCCCCCCCCCCCCTTGCACAAATTTCAAGCACCAGGCCTCCGGTAAAAAATAAAAGACCTAGAAACTGAAACTTACTGAGAGGCTTCCTGGAAGTGAGCCACTAAGGCCAGCTGGGTGATTTTGGCTTTTTGAAGGGATAAAAAGGTGTTTGGAGAGCCCTAGAAGGTTTGGCTCAGTGGATAGAGCATTGGCCTCTGGACCAAAGGATCTCAGGTTCAATTCCAGTCAAGGGCAAGCACCTTGGTTGCAGGCTTCTTCCCAGCCCGGGCCCTGGTTGGGGCTCATACAGGAAGCAACAGATTGATGTGTTTCTCTCACATCAATATTTCTCTCTGTCTTTCCCTCTCCCTAAAAACCAATGGAAAAATATGCTTGGGTGAGGATTAAAAAAAAAAAAAAAAAAAAAAGTGTTGGAGAATTGGAGCACCTGGGTGTCATGATAGGGCTTGTTTCAGGAGGATCACTGGGGCTGCTGTGCTTAGAATACCTGAAGAGCAAAGGAAGGGACCAGAGCACTTCCCAGCAATAACCTTGGCAAGAGATTGTGGTTCTTACAGAATTATGAGTTTGTCAGGAAAGGAGTTTAAGGAGAGGTCTTGCTGGGGGTTAACAGTTGGAACTCAAAAGGTATTTAATCGCGGAGATGGAGTTTCCTCTATCGCTAACTTACTAGTAGTGAGCTCAAGTAAACCACTTCTAGGTTCTGAGCCTCAGTTTCCCTACCAGCGAAATGGGGACAATACTCCCACATCACAGGGCCTTCACGAGAACGAAATAAGTGTCAAAGGCTGACCGTGTGCAAAGTGAGACCCCCGATCCAAGGACCGCACGAGCCGTCCAGCAAGGAGAGAGCCGCTGAATTGTGGACCGACTTCCGAGTCAGTAGCAGGGGACCCGAGATCCCCAGCAGTCACCCGGCAAAAGGACCGTCGGGGCGGAACCGCAACGCGATTTGCGGCTCCCAACCTCGCGAGATTTGTTAGCCGGGCCAAGTCACCCGTCCAGCCTCATCTCGCGAGGCCCCGGCCCTGCCGGCAGATCTGGGATTCCAGGGAAGATGGAGTACCCCGCGTTGGGCACCGTGCAGGCCACGGACAGCGGAGGGGTCCAGCCATACCACAGCTCGGGGGAGCCGGAGGGTCGGGAGCCGGACGGGCTGCGCTTCGACCGCGAGAGGGCGTGCCGCCTGTGGGAAGCGGTGTCCGGGGCCCAGCCCCTGGGGAGGGAGGAAGGTGAGTGAGAGAGGGAGGGCGGGGGTCTCAGAGGAAGGAGTCCCCTTGCCCGCCTGCCCCCGGAGCGAGAGCGGCGGAAGCGCGAGGCTGGAATGCGGGCCAGCCCCCGTCTGTACGGTCCCACCCCTTGCGTGACGCAGCCCGGGACTCCCCAGCTCATGCAAACCAGGGGCCGGGGCCCAGGCCCCGGGCCTCGCAGGCCCGCTGCGGAAAATCAAGGCTCCCGCGTGCATATGGTCAAGGGCCATCTCACGCTCAGGCCGCGGGTGTTTCTGCCCGGCCTTTCTCACCCACCAGAGTGCAGCTCTTCCCTGGCTCGTGGACTGTAGTCCCTATCCACACCTTCTGTGAGACCTACAGAACAATCCCGCCAGACTTTTAGCTAACTCACCATTTCTCCCCGATTCTCAATCGCCCCAGTCTCCAGGCTCCCCCACCCATCATGTGTCTAGCCTCCTTTCTCTCATGCCCCAATTTCCAAGGCCTCTAGAAGGCTTTCTTTATACCCCCATGTTCCTGCTGGTGGTGATGGATGGAGTCCTGGCTCACCCCCATTTGTAGTTGCCTGGTCTCTACCCTTTTCTGAGATGGAGGCCAGGAATCTGAGAAAGAAGCTTTCCAGCTTGCTCTGCATTTTACTTAGCAGTGGGTAAGATGGACATCGAGGAGATGGAAAACGCTGGCCTGACCTGGTTGTGTGACCCACTTAACAGTCCTTAGAAAAGCTAGCTGCTTAACTACCCAAAAGAACACAAGCTGTCAGGGCTTCTGTGCTAAATCCTGTCAAGTAATCTGCGGGGCAATCAGATTGCTCTAATGGTTTGTGCTTGCTGAATAGACAAATCTTGAAAAGTTCAGTATGTTTACCTGTGAATTGATGCCCGCTGGGATAAAATGGAATTTTTTAAAAATATTTTTTTATCGATTTCAGAGAGGAAGGGAGAGGGAGAGAGAGATGGAAACATCAGTGATGAGAGAATCATTGATTGGCTGCCTTCCCCTCGCCCCCATGCTCCCTACTGGGGATCAAGCCTGCAACCCTGGCATGTGCCCTTGACTGGAATCGAACTCGGGACCTTCTATCACAGCCAAGGACTGTCTGTTTCAGTTTGGGGTGGTACACAGACCTATACCCTCGTGTGTGTGTGTGTGTGTGTGTGTGTGTGTGTGTGTGTGTGTATTTCTCCAGTTTAAAAACTAGTCTAGACTGATTCCTAAGTTATTATGTACAAATTTGTGCCCTTCCTCCCCCACCCCCAACCCCACAATTTTTATTTCAATAATTTCACAAATGCCTGCTCTATTCACTGATGCCTGCTCTATTTCAAGACTGTTTGGGTGTCAGAGGTGAGGAAAAACTGTTCTTGCTCTGAAGTGGCTTATAGTCTGGTCCAGGAAGCAGACACCACAGCAGTTTTATTATAATATAGTGAAGAGGAATGCCTAAGAGTTGGGTGCACACAAGAAGAGGAAGTGACCTTTTTCCTCAGAGCACATAGGACACAGCGACTGTGCGTTGAAAAGTGAACTGTCTCTATGTGTGTATGAATGTACAGTGTCACACCAGTTCATTTCCCTAGTCTCCACACCCCTACAATATTTATATCAGATCTAGGTAGATAACTATAACAACAGTTTCTACTCACATTGTTTTTTTCTCTTTGCACTTTCATTGAGTTATAATTTATATGTATCATAAAATTCATCCATTGTAATTATGCCAGGAATTGGACTGTGACCACCTGGTTTGTAGATTGATGCTCAACCACAGAGCTGCGCCAGCTGGGCCATTTTTAATTTTTTGAGGACCCTCCATATTGTTTTCCATGGTGGTGGCACCAATCTGCATTCCTACCAGCAGTACACGAGGGTTCCCTTTTCTCAACATCTTCACCAACACTTGTTTGTTGATTTACTAATGATAGCCATTCTGACAAGTGTGAGGGAATATTTTAAAAAGAATGTTCTGGCTCGGCAGGGTATCTCAGTGGTTGATCATGGACCTATCGACCAGGAGGTCACATTTTAATTTCAGTTAGTCACATGACTGGGTTGCAGGCTCAATGCCCAGTAATAGTATACATGGTACGAGAACATAGCATGAATTATGAAAGCAGTAGGGAAAGAGTGACTGAGGTTTGTCAAGATATAATAGTATGGCATTCCATTACTCAGTGCCTGCATTTGAGGCAGGGTTCAAAAACAATGCTATTGAAGCAGATTTTTAACTCACAGATTTTATTTTCCTCTCTATAGTGGAGCATATGATCCAGAAGAACCAGTGTCTCTTCACCAACACCCAGTGTAAGGTTTGCTGCGCCTTGCTCATTTCAGACTCTCAGAAGCTGGCACACTACCAGGTATGCCATAGTACCTTTAGAACTGCTCTACTTTCCAGACCTAACTCCAAGCCCCCACTTCTCCCGACTTGCACTGTGAAAGGTAATTCCTTTTTAGCCACCCAGATGTTGCCTCCATGCATGTTGACTGTAACTTGAAGACTGATTTAATTTTCCCAAGTCCCATTTCTCTCATCTAAATCAGAATCATTATACAGTAGGTCCTTGGGTTACATTGGAGATCTGTTCCTACAGTGCAACGTAACGTGATTTTAGTGAGAACCCACCTACATAAGCACCTATGTCACTCACGTGGAGCACGTACACAGCAGTAATGAAGTAAAACAGTAAAAAAAATTTAAAAGAACAATAACTCCTGACCTTTACTTGTGGTAAATAAATAAAGCACATATGTACATATGTCAAAATGACGGAACTTTTTTTTTTTAATAAATAAATGAGATATGGCGACATAACCACGAAATGATGTACGTTGAATCTGACATAACCCAAGGGCTGCCTGTACTTATATCTTCCATTGTAGCTTGTACAGTAGAAAGTAAGAACTTTGGCTTTAAATAGACCAGAGTTTGAATCACAGCTCTGCTACTCATCTTGGGCAAGAATCCTCGTATCTTCAGTCTCTGTTTCCTCATAAGATAGAGATGATGCCCTACCTGGTTTGGCTTAATGGATAGAGTGTCGGCCCACAGACCAAAGGGTCTCAGGTTTGATTCCGGTCAAGGGCATGTACCTACTGTGTTTCCCCAAAAATAAGACATCCTCCGAAAATAAGACCTAGCGCATGGAAAGATAAGAAATCCCCTGAAAATAAGACCTAGTGCAACTTTGGGAGAAAAAATTAATATAAGACACTGTCTTATTTTCGGGGAAACAGGGTAGGTTGTAGGCTCAGTCCCCGTGGGGAAGGCAACCAATCGATGTGTCACTCTCACATCAGTGTTTGTCTCTTTGTCTCTCCCCGCCCCCTTCCACGCTGTCTAAAAAACAACAAAACAAAAACAAGATGGAGATGATGATAATTTTCTCATAGGTTGTTGTGAAGATTAGATTTGACTGCATGTAAAGTGCCTTGAGCAGAGTGGGAACTCAAAAGGCTAGGTTTCTTCCCACACCCTCTCCTGCTTAAATGTTTTATGAGGATGAATCAGGTGAAAATCTAGTAAGTGTTTTGAGTTCCTTAGATATGAATTGGTATTTGACTATCTTTGATCTTTTTCCTGGGTTTTTACAGAGCAAAAAACATGCCAACAAAGTGAAGAGGTACCTAGCAATTCATGGAATGGAGACATTAAAGGGGGAAATGAAGAGGCTAGACTCAGATCAGGTAATCCAGCTGCCATGTTGATACTGCTTGCTTCCTGATGAAGCCTGCAGACAGGTTGGTGTGGTAAAAAGAGCATGGGCTTTGAGTCTGACTTGACTTTAAATTCCAGCCCTGTCGTTTCTCTGAGCCTTGATTTCTTCCTTTATCAAAAAGAGAATGCTAATATCAATTATGTTTTAGGATTTTCCAAACTAAAATGAGGGAAAGAAAAAGACCCCACACAGAGCCTGGCACATAGCAGGAGCTTAGTAAATGGAGCCGTTGCTGTGTATTACCACCCAGTGGTTTGATGGAGTAGAACAAGAAGCTGCCCATTCACTACTTAAGGAAACAAAGTAGAAGGAGGCCAGGCTGCTTTCTTGAGATCAGCGAAAAGAGCTGAACTCAGCACTTGAATGTTTTGAGTCAATAATTGGTAGGAACACCTTATCAGATGCCTGCTCTGATAGAGATATAAACACATTTGCTTTTTGGCTTAGAAATAATGTGGGAATTATGCTGAAACAACCCAAAGTCCTCAGGGATATTATAATTTTTGTTCCATAGGAGGCTGTGCAAACATCATGGGATAAGAAACTAGCACTAACTCTACAACTTACTAGTTAGGTGACTTTAGGTAAATCATTTAACCTCTGTGTACTTTATTCATAAAATGGAGATAGTAATTTCTATCTCTTAAGGGTACCATAAGGTAAAATTTCAATTTCTAGTGTATACCCAGTGAATATAAAAACTATGCCTCCTATTATAGATTTGGAAGTGCCATGCTCATCCCTTCTCCAATTTACTAGACCAGTGGTCGGCAAACATGTGGCTCTACAGCTGCAGTTTGCCGCTCTGTTGACTAATGAGTTTGCCGATCACTACACTAGACTGATCCCCTACTTGCCCTTCTTATAATTTAGAATTCTGAAAGTCAGGATCTAACCAATGCTACCCCAAAGAGTTCAATAAAAATTAAAAGTAGCTCAGCCTGCCGAAACCAGTTTGGCTCAGTGGTAGAGCGTTGGTCTGTGGACTGAAAGGTCCCAGGTTCGATTCCGGTCAAGGGCATGTACATTGGTTGCGGGCACATCCCCGGTAGGGGGTGTGCAAAAGACAGCTGGTCAATGTTTCTCTCTCATCGACATTTCTAGCTCTCTATCTCTCTCCCTTCCTCTCTGTAAAAAAATCAATAAAAATATATTTTAAAAAATAAATAAAAGTAGCTCAGCTGGCATGGCTCAGTGGTTGTGCATCAACCTATGAACCAGAAAGTCAAGCTTCAATTCCTGGTCAGGGCATATGCCTGGATTGCAGGCTGGAACTCCAGTGTGGGACATGCAGGAGGCAGCCAATCAATGATCCCCTCTCATCATTGATGTTTCTATCTCTCATTCTCCCTCTCTAAAATTAATAAAAAATAACACTTTTTAAAATAATAATAATAAATTGCCTTGGCCAATGTGGCTTAGTTGGTGGGGTGTCATCTCATGCCCTGAAGGGATTCTGGTTCAATTCTCAGTCGGAGCACGTGCCTGAGTTGCATGCTCCATCCCCATTAGGGAGCATACAAGAGATACCTGAAAGATGTCCCCTCTCACATTGATATTTCTCTCTCCCTCTCTTTTCCTCTCTCTCTTAAAAATCAATACACATTTTTTCTTTAAAAAAAAAAAAAAAAAGGGGGGCCCGACTAGTGTGGCTTAGTGGTTAAGCATGTATCAATGAACCTGTAGGTTATCGTTCGAATCCTGGTCAGGGAACATGCCTGGATTGCATGTTCGATCCCCAGAAAGGGGCATGTAGGAAGCAGCTGATCGGTGGTTCTCATATCTCTCTCTCCCTCTCACTTCTTCTCTCTGAAATGAATAAGACTTTTTTTTAAAAAAAAAAAAAAAGAAAAAGAAAATGAAGCTCAACTCCGTGACCCTGAGCAAGTCACTTCACCGCTTTGTATTTCAGTTCCTTCAACTCAGGGTGGTCCAGTAGTTTCAAACAAGGTCACAGGCTCCTACCCCTACCCCAATTAAAGAATTATTCAGCCCAAAATATTAATAGTGCCAAGGTTTAAAATGTTGTCTTGCCCTAGCTAATTTTGCTCAGTGGATAGAGTGTCCCAGGTTCAATTCTGGTCAAGGATACGTACGTTGGTTGCAGGCTCTTCCCCTGCCCCAGCCCTAGTTGGGCTTATGCAGGAGGCAAATATTCTATGTGTTTCTCTCAAATCAATGTTTCTCTGTGTCTTTCCCTCTCTCTCTCACTCTCCCTAAAAAGTAATGGAAAATATCCTTGAAAAGGATTAAACAAATAATAATAATCCTATGTAATAAAAGGCTAATGTGCAAATCAACCAAATAGCAGAATGTTGGGTCTCTATGACGCACACTGACCATCGGGGGCAGACATTCAATGCAGGAGCTCCCCTTAGTGGTCAGTGTGCTCCCATGAGGAGAGCACTGCTCAGCCAGAAGCCCTGAGCCAGGCTCAAGACTGGCGAGCAAAGCAGTGGTGGCGGGAGCCTCTGTTGTCTTCGTGGCAGCACTAAAGATGTCGGACTGCTGACTTAGAGGAGCAGGCCTAAGCCTGCAATTGGACATCTCCTGAGGGCTCCCAGAATGTAAGAGGGTGCAGGCTGGGCTGAGGGACCCCTCCAACTGAGTGCACATATTCTGTGCACTAGGCCTCTAGTAATAAAAATAAAATACTGTCTTGCCCTGACCAGTGTGGCCTGGTGGTTAGAGTGTCGACCCAAACACCAAAGGGTCACAGGTTTGATTCCCAGTCAAGGGCAGGTACCTGGGTTGCAGGTTGTGTCCCTGGTCTCAACATTTGAGAGGCAACCAATTAATGTCTCTTTCACATCAGTGTTTCTCCTCTCTCTCCTCCTCCCTTCCACTTTCTCTAAAAAGCAATGGGAAAATATCCTCAGGTGAGGATTAACATAAATAAATAAATAAATAATAAATAAATAAAATGCTGTATTGCCTGGTAGTTCAGTTGGTTAGAGTGTAGTCCCAATACGCCAAGGTTGCGGGTTTGATTTCCAATCAAGGCACATACAAGAATCAACCAATGAATGCATAAATAGGTGGAATAGCAAATGATTCTCTCTTTCTCCCCCTTTCTTTCTTCCTCTCCCTCTTCCTCTCTAAAATCAATAAGTAAAAAATTTTAAAAATACAATGATCTGCTAGTACTTGTTCAATAAACTCTGAGCCTCTGCTGTGTGCCAGACTCCAACAGACTGCTAAGGATAGGAGACAAAATCAAACAGACTATGCCGTCCATGTTGAAGTTTAGTTCACAGAAAAGTCTCCCAAGCTATTATGCTGTCAGCTTAGGGTTACAAGTGGCATGCTAAAGAGGTCTGTTTCATGCACTCTGGGAGTATGGAGGAGGAACAGAATTAATTTTTCCTGGAATAGTCACACAAAGTGCCTTGATAATTGTTGATTGAATAATTTTCTTGAGTAAAAGTCTCCCAGAAGATGTGATATTTAATCTGGGCCTTAAAGGCTAAGTGGACATATGCCAGGCAGAAAAGAAGGAAAGATCGTTCTAGGTAGCAAGAATGATCCACACAAAAAGTAAGAAAGTATCAGAGCGTAAAGCGGGGAATGGTGAGTAGAGCCTGGCATGAGTTAGCTGAAGAAGAATCCAGAAAGGTAGGTTGGGGTAGTGTGCGAACGGGGCCTTGAATACCCATTCTGCTGTGGGCAGTGGGGAACCATTTTAGATATTCTGGCCGGGCAGTGACATGTTCAGACCTGTGTTCTTTCTCCCAACCAGAAGAGCAGCAGAAGCAAAGACAAGAACCAGTGCTGCCCCATCTGTAACATGACCTTTTTCTCCCCTGTCGTGGCCCAGTCGCACTACCTGGGGAAGACCCACGCAAAGAACTTAAAGCTGAAGCAGCAATCCACTAAGGTGGAAGGTACTGGTTTTCCTGAGTAGTGCTATATCGGGACCCCCATCCCCACCCCCATCCTTAGGGCACTAATGCCAGGTGCTCCCAGAAACTCTCACTGGGGCCACAGATTTGAAGAGGTTGAACTGCTTTTGGGAGCCCTTAAAAATCTTAAAGTAGACTCAGCTTCATTGAAATGCAGCCTCAGAGTTGTACCCACCTAACCTCTATGTGGTTGCATCAATTTTTCTCTGTAGAAGTGTCGTAGGCCTGAGCTTTTGTTCTGACTAATAATTCGGGAGTGTCAAAGTCCTTCAGGCCTTGCACACCATGAGAGCATTCTACTTCCTACCTCTCCCACTTAGATTTTTTTCCTCCCAGCATCCATCTGCCCTTATTATCATATATTCCAGGTTGAAAGCTAAAACCTAGTCTTTTTTGTGTGCTCAGTTTATGCCTACTCACTTTAATCTTCAAAGGTGCCTCTTCTCAAGACAGGGACTTGCCTTTCAAAGCTGAATATTTCAGTACTGTCACTATTGTCCCATAAGCTGTGTTTGCAGTGGCTATGAATTCATTCCCAGTATAGTGACTTCTAAAGTAACCTCCTTTATCTTGTCACACTGGGACCCTTGATTTCATCTCATTAACTCCTGACTTTCTGGGATTTTTTAACTTCTGTTAACTAGTTACTCAAGAATAAAAATTCTTTGATCTTTATTTTTTCTTGGTAACTTTAGCTTCTCTCTTCATTTTGGATCAAGAAGTAGATTATACTATCTATAATACTTATTATCCTTTTTTATATTATTGTATTATGAAAACAAGACAACAATGTTTTGGGAGGCTTTGAAGAGTAAAAACAATTCACTTATAATTACACCTTCTCTCACCCAAATCTAGTTATTTGTGCTATAAACCTAAATAACTTTGAACTCACAGATGCCCAGGTTTAAATCCTAGGGCTATTTACCATCCTTATTATTTGACTTCTTCATGCCTGAGTTTCCTCACCTTCATAGGTTGTGAGGATGAAATAATATATATGGAACCTAGGACATAACAGATGCCCAGTAAATGACAGCTGCTATTTTTAAGAGAGCCAGTGAGTGGCATTTCCCACAACAAATGCAGTAGTTGAACAGGCAAACACCACCTGGAACCTATTACTACTAATAATTGCTTTTGGTAAAGTCAGTGTTGGCACCATTCATGGCAACAAAAAAATACTAAACATTAGGCCAAGAAAAACCAGCTTAGGAACAGAACTTTATAAGATCACTCACTTATCTTTATATGGACTTACCTGTCCATAAATAGGGAAATTCCCTGGAATATATCTAGTACCAAGGATTCCATATTCTGGAAGTTATTTTCCATATCCACTTTTGGCCTTTGCCACATGCATATATGTCTTTTTATATAGTTGTAATTGTCATACATGTATCCTGCTTTTACTTTTAGTTTAAGCACATTTTCCTGTTATCATATAAGTTTATTAATATATTTCTAAAAGTGATATAAGCACGTTGTAAAAAATATGGAAAATATTGATAAGTGGGGGGAAAAGTACCCATAATTTTACCATTCAAAGGTAACCATTGTTAACATTTTATAATACTGTTTCTCCTGTTATCTTTTGCTCTGTGTGTGTGTGTGTGTGTGTGTCTGCTTTATGTGTATCTAAATTGAATCCATGTATATGAACATATAAACATATAATACTCTAAATAATCTTGTTTTTATGAAAATGATGCATACTCATTATAAATAAATCTAGTTCAAACGATGCAAAAGGTACAAAGAAAAAAGTAAACTTTCACCCAAATCCTACCACCAAGAGAAAAATACTGTTAATATGTGACTTTCAAAATACCAGAATACACATATAAACTGTGTATGTGTCTTTTCACAATAATATAATTATATATTGTGCGTCCAGTTTTCTTTTATACTCTTCATTTAAATTTAACATTTGTATTTCCTCATGTTATTAAAAACTATTTTATAAACATTTTTAATGACTAGAAGGCATCTCATCATATCACATTCAACCATTCCTCTAATGTTTTTCCCTCTCCCCTTCTTGGTATTTTAAATAACTCTATATAACAAATATCCATATAGAATACTTTTTCCATATTTCAAGCTGTTTCTTGAGGGAAGACTCCCATAGGTCTAATTTTTATTGGATGTCCACTAAGTAGTTCCTTTAACTTTACTTAAGCATTTGCCTCTGATGCTTTTCTTCAGTACCTTTTAAAAAATGACATTTATAACAACCATTATCTCTTTTCTGATGTCAAAAATCTACATTCATTGTAGAAAAGTTGGAAAATACTGAAAAGCCCTTTTGCTTTATGCTTTTGGTCTTTTAATATATATCACCAATATGTTTTGTTGCTTTACAGAATTGAGGACATAGAAACAAATTTCTGTATAACCTTTTCTTTTTAACTCAGTACCACATGCTGAATATTTTCTCATACTATTAAATATTCTGTAACATGTATATTACTTTTCAAGTAACTTGCTGAAACAATGACCAGGAAAAATGAATGGCCTGAGAAATTGAGATTTCCTATCCTGGAAAACAACTGTGGGAAAAGCCAGTAAGTTTTCTTCTGGTTTGCTAAAAATCCTTAAAATTTCCCACATTGAAGTGGTACCAAGATGAAAGAGCCCCTCAGACATCTGTGAGTACTGCTGAGCCCCACCCCTCCACCATCAGTGGAGGTTCTAGCCCATATTTGTAAAGCAGTGGTTACTAGATCCACACCATTCCAGCCACGTGGACTCATTAGTGAGTTATGGCATCCACTTTATTAAGGCAGCTGCGTGGCCTGCAGTCAGCATTTGGACATCTCTTGATTCACAGGAGGCTTACACATATATCCAATTCCAGGCTCTGTTTAACAGAATTCACTAACCAACGCCAGGGATTTTTTCTGAAGGTGAAAGCATGCACTGTAGCCTTCAGGTCCCCTTGCCACACTCTGGAAGCCTGGCAGAGCAAAGAGGGCATGGTGTCTAGGATCACACAGACCTTGGTTCCACTCACTAGCTGGGTGGTCTTGGACAAGTCATTTGCCCTGTGAGCCCTAATATTTCTCTGTAGTGCAGCAAAATGATATATACCTCATGGAGTAGTTCTGAGGACCAAGGGAGGAAATACATGTACAGAGCACATAATGACTAGTAAATGTCAGTGTCATCCTCTTCTCTCCCCACCTTACCCCAGAAAGAAGTGTGCAAAAAGCCTCCCAGGATAGCTGCCTTTTGTAAATGACCCTGTAAGCCCTTAGACCCTCAGTCTCTACATTTGCACATTGCCTCCCAGCTCTGTAACTGGAGTATTGAGGATGGGAATAAAACACCCACTTACAGTGAAGTTCTGGGGATTTCTGAAGGATAAAAAGACTGCAAGCATGTACATCTCTAGTCTGTTGTCATTTACAACTTGATAGTAGAAGTGCAGAACCTCCTCAGAATGTGAGAAAATCAGGTTTCATGTTCCTAAAGTAGTTAAAGCTATTGAACAGAGTAGCTCCCCCACATCTCTGCAGTTTTCTTAATCAGAGAAGGTTTTCACTGTGTGATTCATCCTGGCAGGGCTCCCTGTGCAAGCGTGATTAACTAGTTACCAGCCTTCATTTGCATTCAGTATACTCAAAAGCCTGGCACCTTCTGGGTTTTTTCATTGTTTCTGTTTGAACTCTCTCACTGCAGCTCTGTCGAAACGCCTTACAAACCCTTTCCTTGTGGCCTCCACCTTAGCCTTACACCAGAATAGAGAGATGATAGACCCAGACAAGTTCTGCAGCCTCTGCCACGCAACTTTCAACGACCCTGCCATGGCTCAACAACATTATGAGGGCAAGAAACACAGGAAACAGGAGACCAAGCTCAAACTCATGGCACACTATGGACGGCTGGCAGACCCTGCTGTCACCGACTCAGGTAAGGGAGCCCTGCTCACACATAGCTCACACCCATAGTTGAATCAGAGCTGGACCGCTAGGCTATGCTTTTTCTCCTTAAGTCTCTTAGGGCAGACATGGCAAACTGAAATGCCTGCAGAAGCCAGATAGGAAATTTAAATAAGGGAAAGAGCCTGGAGGTGATAGGTCAGCTAAAAAAGTGCATGCCTGGCTGAGTCAGCTCTAGCCAATTATTTACCAGTTTTTCACAAGAATCTAGAAGCCAGATTTGAATAAGAATTCTTATTTTTAAATGTGCAACTAAATTTTTAAAATGTTAAGTCCTGTGAGATTTGGGCCAGGGGCCACCAGGGGCAACTTCTGATTTAAACTCCCTGTCATCCACATGTTTTGTGTGAAGGTCTCAGCTATTTCTGTCAGATTTTAGAGTGTCCTCAGGGCCCCTCCTTTCTCAGCAGTTGAGGCTTAACTGTATTCCGAGGATAACGTGATGAAAACCATTCTGACTGAGAATATTAGCTGCTTCCCTGACCTCAAGGTGCTCACTCATCAGCATCCCAGGAGTGAGCATTCACAAAAAGTTAGAAGCCCTTCCCATAACAGTAATTACTCACTGCCTATCGAAAGGGAGGGGAAGAGAAGAGAGATTAATTTTTCACTCAGCCAGTCATCATTTATTGAGCACCCACTGTGTTTCTTCATTGAGGTACAGTACTGACCAACACTGGCACAATTCCTGTCTCATGGAGCCGATGTGAACTTTTGTGTTGGTCCGCAGGGTTTTCTCCCTGGGCCATGGAGATCCAGCACCAGATAGTCAGTACTTGTGTTTGCATTCCACTTGAGGCCCCATGGCATCCAGCTACCAACAACTTGGCCTCAGGGAAACTGATTCTCAGAGCCATCTGGGCTCTTCCCACAGTGCTGAAGAGATGAACATATAGTTGTCTTAGATGTTCCAGACCACATATAGGCAAGGGGAGGGATCCTGGCTCTCTAACAAACCTCCAAACCCGAAAGCACCATGCAGCACAGGCTGTCCTTGGGCAATACTGACACAAATGAGAAGGGTGCAAAGCAGTGACTATGAAGCAAAGTGGGCAGCTCTTTAGCGGGGTGCCGAGGATTGCTCCACCAATGCCATTGAAGGACCCTGCTTTACAAACCTGTTTTAAATTGGAGCCCTTGACCATATGGGTCAGTTGGTTGGGCATTGTGCCCATGCACCAAAAGGTTGCTGGTTTGGTTCCCCAGTCAGGGTTCATGTCTGGGTGGTGTATAGGAGGCAGCCAATCAATGTTCCACACTCACATTAATGTTTCTCTTTCTCCTTCTCCCTTCCTCTCTCACTAAAAATCAATTTTAAAAAAATTTTAAAGACTTAATTTGAAATGGATTGCTGATATTTACTTACCATTCCCACATACAGGCAGTACCTTCCCCTTTAATAGGATCAGTATCATGTTGAGGAATTTGGAAACCTTAGGTCCAAGTTCCTTATAATCCCACTTCATGACATACCAAACCAGATTTGAGTATTTTGGTCTGTAATTGATAGGAATATAGCATCCAGCTAGCATTTAAATATATTTTATTGCCGAAACCGATTTGGCTCACTGGATAGAGCGTCGGTCTGCGGACTAAAAGGTCCCAGGTTCGATTCCGGTCAAGGGCATGTACATTGGTTACGGGCACAACCCCAATAGGTTGATGTTTCTCTCTCGTCGATGTTTCTAGCTCTCTATCCCTCTCTCTTCTTTTCTGTGGAAAATCAATCAAATATATTTTAAATAAATAAATAAATAAATAAATTTTATTGATTTTTTACAGAGAGGAAGAGAGAGGGATAGAGAGTTAGAAACATCAATGAGAGAGAATCATCGATCAGCTGCCTCTTACACACCCTCTACTGGGGATGTGCCCAAAACCAAGGTACATGCCCTTGACTGGAATCATTGAACCCAGGACCTTTCAGGCTGTAGGCCAATGCTCTATCCATTAAGCCAAACCAGTTTCGGCCAGACCTATCTTTTGATATTACTGAATTGTGCACTTAAAGTGGTTTGGATGGTAAATTTCCTATTGTATTTAACCACAATTAAAAATAAAATAATAGCCCTAGCTGGTTGGCTCAATGAATAGAGCATCTGCCTGTGGACTGAAGGGTCCCAAGTTCAATTCTGGTCAAGGGCATGTGCCGGGTTGCGGGTTCAACTTCTAGTAGGAGCATGCAAGAGACAGCCAATCAGTGATTCTCTCTCATCACTGTTTCTATCTCTCCCTTTCCCTTCCTCTCTGAAATCAATAAAAAATATATTTTTTAAAAATAAAATAATAAGGAAATAAAAAGAAGGAAAAAGTTGCACCCTCTGGAATGCCACTATTAATAATGGAAGTCAAACAGGTGTTAGCAAGAGAAGGAGCCACCAGAGGACAGAAAACAAGAGTGCACATGCTGAAAGCCATGGGCTGGGCAGGAGATGTTGAAGAAGGGAAGAGTCACCAGTTCTCTCAGGAGCTGTTGAAAGCTCAAATACGATGAGTCCTCACAAGCATCCATGTTGTCCATTAAATTTAGATATAAGGAAGCCACCATTGGCCTTGGAAAGGGTGTGCACATGCACATGTGTGCGTGTGCACGTGAAGAAGGCTTAGCAGTAAAAAGATGGAGATATAGGTACTTTCCCACATAAGATGTTCAAAAACCAGCTCTTGTGACTTATGTTTTATGAAATTACATGGGCAAACCAAAATATCAAACTTGTAAAATGAAAAACAGATGATAATTACTGGACAAATACTGTTGTTTTTTTAGAGCATCGATGAATTCTGCAATTCCCCAAATGACAATTTTAACTCTTAATTATTTTTTTAATCCTCACCTGAGGACATGATTATTTATTTATTTATTTATTTATTTTAGAGAGAAGGAAATGGGGAAGGGGTGGGGAGGGAGAGAAACATCGATGTGAGAAACATTGGATCACTTGCCTTCCTTACACAACCTGACTTGGGACTGAACCCGAAATCTAGGCATTTATTCAGACCTTGAATTGAACCCACAACCTTTTGGTGTACACTTCAACCAAATGAGTCACACAGACAGAGCTCAAATAACCATTTTGAATCTAGTTTACGGATGAGTAGATAGTGTGTTGAGGTCTTGTCCCTCACAAAGGAGATAGAAGAGTTTAGAGACATATGAAGAATGGGGGCTTCATGACCAGAGGGAAAATCCCAGGTCAACGACTTAACTTTCCTGGGCCTGGTTCCTGATTTGAAAAATGGAGATAACCACCTATCTTGCATTATTGTTGTAAGAATCTAAGGACATATATATCCAAAATTCTGGTGTGGTGCCTAGTACTTAATAGATAATAGGAGTAGGCTATTATAATCTGGGTATCAGTGACTCTTAACCACACCAATCCCAGGTCCCATTCTTGGCCTTGGGGGCAAGGTAGTTCTACTAGTCCATTATGCATCTTTTCCATGTTAGTGTTGAAACATGAATTCTGGCCTTAAATATCTAAAAAGGACCTGAATTCTGATTGTAGGAAGTTTATCCTTAAGTGAAGAAACAAGGGAAACAAACAGAGCTGTAACATTGGCTACCTTATTTGAGTAGAGGAGATTGTTGGTATTCTCAGAAGCTGCAGTTGCCATGAAAGGCTGCTAAAAAGATATTCGCCACCTCTTTACCAGCATGATTCATGGAACCCATAAGAATGTATCTATAGCTGAGACCGGTTTGGCTCAATGGATAGAGTGTCGGCTTGGGGACTGAAGGGACCCAGGTTCGATTCCAGTCAAGGGCATGTACCTTGGTTTCGGGCATATCCCCAGTAGGGGGTGTGCAAGAGGCAGCTGTTCGATGACTCTCTCTCATCAATGTTTCTAGCTCTCTCTCTCTCCCTTCCTCTCTGTACAAAATCAATAAAATATATTTTTAAAAAAAAAAAAAGAATGAATCTATATATATAAAAGGCTAATAAGATAAGTGTCCCTCCTACCATCTGACCAGTCACTATGGCATGCACTGACCACCAGGGGAAAGATGTTCAATGCAGGAGCTGCTGAGCTGCAGTGACATGGCAGCAGCAGTTTTCAGGTGATGCCCCCCAAAACCAGAGAGGAGGGAGCCTGATTCCTTGTGGGGCCGCACGATTCCACCTTCAGCCATGTTGCTAGAGCACTGTCAGCCCCAAATCTGGTTTACTGCACACTTGTGTTTGCATTCCACACTCTGTACAACAGCAACTTTGGCACATAGCATGTGCCCCCTGGGCATTGAGGCCTTTGGGATTCTCATCATGGCCAATCACCTGACCTCATCCCACTAATACATTTGCATGCACTGTCAAAAGCAGCAGTCCCCAGGTCCCTTCTTACTGAATAACTAAGCATCTTGGCTTTTATGTGTGTTTCAGCTGGGAAGGGCTATCCGTGCAAGACATGTAAGATAGTGCTGAACTCCATAGAACAGTACCAAGCTCATGTCAGCGGCTTCAAACACAAGAACCAGTGAGTAATCATTCTTTGAAGTTCAAGGTCTGCAGCAGGAGCTATGGGCTGCTGAATTAGAACAAAGCCAGGTACCCCTTGGCTAAAAGGGAATCCTGACAGCTTTTTCTCAGTCATTAGGTCAGTTAACAGAAAGAAATATCTCCTCTGTAAGTTTTTTCCCATCAGCTTCACCCCCGCTTTCTCCCTTTTTGGTAAAAAAGCATAGACAGTTTCCTTGGTAGTCTCCTCAGAGTACTTGAGGGGAAAAAGAGTACTTGGATTTCCTGGCCTGTAGCAATCTGACTAGAGAAGTCTTTTTTTCTCTGGTCTGAAGACTCTGTGCTTTACTACCATCAATTCTATGGCAAGAGCTCTCTCTACAGGTCAAAGTATTACCAGGTTCTTTCATTTATTAATCAAAGATTTATTGAACACCCTAAGTGGTAGACCCAACAGATCCAACCCCTGCTCTCAAGACCTTACATTCTGATAGGAGACAAAACATAATAACCAATAATTAAAAATCATTATGAGTTCATTTTAAAATATGTATATATTTTATTGTTAATAGTATTACAGATATCTCCCATTTCCCCCCACTCTCCTCCCAGCCCCTACCTGGCCTCCCAGTTTTTCACTACCCTATTACCAGTATCCATGAGCTATTCATATAAGTATATTAGTTCTCTGGTTTATCTCTTCTCATCCTGTGGTAAGTTCTTTGAGGGAAGAGAAGAACAGAGAGTTGGCTGTTCATGGTAATCTTGAAAATGACTAACATTCTTAGAGCACCTGTTCTGTTATAGGCCATATGCCAAGCAGTTTCTCTCTCAGGTAATTCTTAAGCAACCCTTAGAGGAAGGGATTATTATTCTGATTTTATAGAGATAGGCAACCACCATTAAAAGTGAACCTCTTCCTTGCTGATGTGGCTCAGTCGTTGAGCGTCGACCTTTGAACTAGGAGGTCAAAGTTCGATTCCTGGTCAGGGCACATGCCTGGGTTGTGGGCTCAATACCCAGTATGGGGTGTGTAAGAGGCAGCCAATCAGTGATTCTCTCTCATCATTGATATTTCTGTCTCTCCCTCTCTCTTTCTCTCTAAAATCAACAAAAATATAATTTTTTTTAAAAAGTGAACCTGCCAAAACCGGTTTGGCTCAGTGGTAGAGCGTCGGTCTGTGGACTGAAAGGTCCCAGGTTTGATTCCGGTCAGGGGCATGTACGTTGGTTGCGGGCACATCCCCAGTGTGGGGTGTGCAGGAGTCAGTTGGTCGATGTTTCTCATCGACGTTTCTAGCTCTCTATCTCTCTCCCTTCCTCTCTGTAAAAAAAATCAATAAAATATATTTAAAAAAAAATAATAAGTGAACCTATGAGGCAGAGCCATAATTCAAACTGAGGCTTATCTGGCTTACAGCATGCTCCTTCAGGGCATCATGCTGACAGGGAGGTTATAGCACCACGTGAGATGAAGAGGCTAGGGTTTGGCTAGGGAGGGCCCTCATAGTTACATCCTGCCTCTCAGAAAGGAACTGTGTTGTGTGGACAGTGTGCCACAACATGACTTTCTGAGGTAGAAATTATCTCCATTTTATAGATGAGGAAACTGAGTTTCAGGCAAGCAAGTCTGCTGAAATGATAACTTTGACGTCGGTATTTGGTTCTGCATTACTCACAGAGCCAAATGAATTAAAGGTGGTAGAAACAGAATGTTGGAGTAAAAAATGTCCTTGGTCCTCTCTACTCTGCCTTAAGTCTTCTCTCCCTCACTGTAGGAGGTCTTTCTCTTTATTTGTAGATATGTCTTTAACTGGAAGGACTCTTGAGATTTCTCTTAGATATGGACTTGAAATAAGCTCCAGCAACCCAGCCTCAGGCTCTCTCCTGTTTCAGCATGTCTGCAGCTTATGACACCTTGACTGGTGGCAATTTCAGACATTCTGGAGCCAGCCAGAGCCCTGTCCTGAGGCTACCCATACTTGAAAATGCTATTGTTTACTATTTTATTCCTATACTTTGCAGCTGTGTCACCTTGGGCAAGTCAGTAAACCACTCTGAGCCTCCAGTTCCTCTTCTGTAGGAATATAGCTACAATCTCTAATTCAAAACAGTAGCTCTGAATTAGGACCACCCTTTCACACCCCAAGGAAACCTAATGTCAGGTAGGTGAGGTGACTTGCCTCGGATACTTGGAGTTAAACCCAGGTTTCAAACCTCTTTGATTCCAAAGCCCATTCATTTTGCTCTGCCATTTCCAAATGGAGCTCATTATCCCCACCTTCTGGGATGATGTGAGGGTTAGAGATAATGTAGTTCAAGTACCAATAAGGGGAACTGTTAGAGATGAGCTCTTATCCACTCAACAAATATTTATTGACACTTATTTTGTGCCAGGCCTTTTGATTTAGACACTGGGGCTACTGTAGGAATCAAGACCAATGCTGTTCCCTGATCCTTTGGATTCCCCTCTGGTGGTAGAAGCAAACCCATAAATAAGTAAGATATCAGGTGATACTAGGTGACCAGATAGTGGGATGGAGAATGACAGCAGAGCCACTGTAGATTCTGCATGAGGGGGAGAATGGTCATTCTGTACCTTTCAGGTCCCGTGGGCCCTGTAGGCAGAATAAATGGTGTGCTATAGTGGGAAGACATGGACTGGGCTACAATCCTGAATCTATACACCTAAAAACTACTGTGGGCAGGTCTCTTATACTTTCTGAACTTTAGTTTTCTCATATGTAAAATGGAGGTGCTATTTCCCTCCCATCCTTGCAAAATTGCCATGAGGATGAAATAGGATGCTGTATGCAAAGCATCCATTATTGTGCGTAATATGTGTGGCCTCCGTAAAAGAGAGCTGCCTGTTTGTCACTCCAAGGCCCTAGAAGAGCTGTCTACCATTAGAATAAGCAACTGGGGCACCATTGCAACCACCAGAAACTGACCCTGTGCCTCTGTTCCTTCTCATATTACAGATCACCGAAAACAATGGTATCACCTCTGGGCCAGATTCCAATGTAAAGACAACCCATTCGGAAAGACTCAACTGCTTTGGAAGACTAGAGGTGTTTCTGTCCAGCACCCCGGGTTGAACCAGCCATGAGCCAGCCTCCTCCTGACCATGACCATGGTCAGCCCTTGGCTCCCTCTTCCTCCTTTCTTACACAGGCCTGAGGAATAGGCCACAGGCAGCCTCTGATTGATCCAGGCAAATCCACCCATGTTCCTCCCCTTTGGAATGGGCTCTGAAAGTCAGGACAAAGAGGGATTTTTTAGAGGACGTGGGTTCTCACAGGGTAGTAGTTTAGAGGATGGCCTTTCCCCTTCCCTGGCCCTTCTAGGCCATATGTCATGAGGCTTCAGTCCTGTGTTTCCTCTGCAAGTCAGTTTTGGACCACTCCTTGCAGCTAAACAACTGAGTTCTCCTGGGCTCTAGGCATCTCCAATGAAATATGGCACTTTCATGCAGAGCTTGGCCTAGGCAGGAAAGGACAGATGAAAATAGCTGCCACATGGAAGCTTAGAGATAATGTGACACTCACCTCCCCCAAAGATGTGCAGACTTTCCTAAGCCTGGGACCAGATGCTGGCCAGTTGTACAGGTTTCTGTCCACTGTGAAGTCTCCTCCTGGAGCAATGCCGCAGTCCTGGCAGAGTGTTGCTGTCCCTCCTGACCCTCCACAGTTCCTGAATGGTGCTAAGGACCTGCAGCAGCCGGAGACAAGCTAGAGCTGGAGAAGGCCTCAGTACCTAGTGGGATCATGGAAAGGCTCCAGGGGGCCTTTCCTCTGTGTCAGAGGTGTTCTGACCCAGTTCATATGGGAAAGTCCCCATATGCAAGTTTTCTTGATGATTCTCCAGCCAGCCAGCTCAGAGATTCATTGCTGCTCATCGGCCTCCACTAGCCTTTCCTTCCCCACGTGCAGCAGACCACCTGCCCAGGTTGCTGTGGTGCTAACCCTCCCCCATCACCCACCAGGAGATTCCTGGGTACCAGGTAAAGGAAGGAGGGCTGGTACAAGTTTCCACTGAGCAATCAGATGTTCCCCAGACCCCAAACCTAGATTTCTCCAGCTCTGCCATGTCTTATGGCCTGGGACTTCACTGGGAGTATATTTTTTCTTGTGTCTTTCAAGCAGGAATTCTAGGGAGTGGAACCATCAGTGGCCCTCCTTCACTGGGCAAAGAAGCCCCTATTCTGCTCTCAATGCCTCTTCCTCCCACTCCCTATCCCTTGCCTGTGAAATGCCTTTAGTGTTGTGTATGGGTATGTGTTTATGCTCTGTCTCTTGGTTACTGAAGCATCTAAATAAAGAATTTATCCCATGAGCCAGACTGCAACTTAACAGAACTGGGACTTGGGGCCATATTGCCATTGGGTCTAATATGTGTATCTTCATCCCTTACCCTTATCCCATTCATACTCCCACAGTCCTAAATACTGATCTTAGGAGTTAGGACAGAGAGAGGCATCCAAATTGTTTGGGAACTCTGAGGAAGTCTTCACACATGCCCTAAATTCAATATAACCTCATCTACTCATTCACCTTTCCCTGTAACGGAGAGTCTCATGGAGGTCTCGAGAAAGTTTAAACTAGTAGCCTGCTTTGGTTGAGAGGATCATTTTAGCTGCTATGCACAGAAGGAATGTAGGAGAGCAGGAAAGGACACAGACAGAGGTCAAATGGAGCCTTTTTGTGGTTCTTTCCAGGCTAACCCCTTCAGGGCAGAGAACTACCCTTGTTCATCCCCACTTCCCTAATGTACAGAGTGATGTGTCATGAAGTGTTTCCTGGATGGTTGGATGGATGAATGACTATGCATAAGGAGAAATGGTCCTGGTAATTCTTGGAAGAACCTTTTCCATGACCCAGAAATGAGCTGAGGAAGGAGTATGATGGCTTCAGGATTCCTTTGTTTCTGACTATCAGATCTGAGGAAGATGCTCACACAGCTGTAGCTCTAATTCTTCACTCAGCAAATGGTTCTTGAGCACCTGCTTTAGGCCAGCTGGAAAAGACCCTACACAGCCCCAAGTGTGGATTCTCAGCTCTCAGCTTCCAAAGCCCATACTGCCTCAGCGTTTTCCCCAGAACCCCTCTCCCCAACCCAAGATGTCAGAATTGGGCCCATCTAACAAGCAAGGAAGTGAAGGGCAGAGGAATAGTGGGCTGCCACACCATGCCATATTCTTGGCCTGCAGGACCACTCTGGATTCAGGAGTCCTGCCAGCTGTGTGCCCAGCCCGTTGGCATGGGAATACAGGAATGAACACTTTTCTTTGGAGAGCTCACCACTGTTAAAGACCATTATGGCAATGGTCAGAGGGTCATACAGGGTGTTGTGGGAATGCCCAGGATGTAGGCATTAACTCAGCCAAGGATATGAAAAGCTGGAGAAGTTGGGAAACTAGCATTTGATCTGCATAACAACCTTTTGAACCAGATGATGATATTCCATTTTCTAGAAAAGGAACAAGGCTTAGAGAGGTGTGGTGATTTGCCCAAGGCCTTGCCACTAAAACAGCAAAATGGGGAGTGGATCCAGTTGTCCAGATTTCTATTCCAGAATCCTTTCAAACAAGGACCAGAGTCCTTCCCACATGACCCCTTAGCCGGCTTCACCCATCTGGCTGGGTGATTGTCTCAGAGCGAGCAGCCACAAAACAAGTCATACAATGTTCATTAGTTATTTTATGAATATAAAATAAGCTCCCTTATGCGTCTCATAATTTTACTCAAGATTCTCAGTGTATTGGGCTCTAATGAACTGTAAGAAACTTGAAATGGCTAGCTAAAAGGAAATTTACTGATTCACTCAATGAAAAAACTTGGTATAGAGATGGCTAGACCCAGGTTCTGACAGTGTCATTAGTAAGAATTCAATCTCGCCATGCTTTCCTCTGTGTGGCCTCCCTTGGGCAGACTCTGCAGAAGGTGGAAAGATGGCCACTGGCAGCTCAAAGCTTATATCCTGATAGATTAGCAACTGAAATGGGAAGAACATCTTTTTCTATTAGTTCCAAAAGAAATTCTGGGACTGACTCATTAGCCAACTTGTTCCTGTTCCCATCCCTAACCATTCACTGTAGGTAGAGGAAACGGTGCTTTGATTTGGGGCCTGCAAAGCAATGAACACCAAACACAGATGGACTGAAATGGAGAGATGTGTCCCTAAGAGAAGAAAGTATAGGGCTCCCTCCAGACTAAGAGAGAAGATTGATGCAGATGCGAAAAAATAACTTGTCAGCCATACCCAAGTAGTGTCTTTCTTTAACCATTTTTTTTTAAATTTTTATCCTGACTTTTTGAGATACAGGATACATTAAGTAATAATGTGTGCCAATTTTTAGAGTACAGTTTGCTGAGTCCTCACATATGTGTATTTATCTGGGCAGTCACCCTCGGGATCAAAGTACAGAACATTGCCAGCTCCTCAGAAGGTCCCCTTGTTTTTCTCTCTACATAGTATCCCCCAGAGCTGTGATGGGCAAACTGCAGCTCTCAAGCTAAATGCTGCTCTTTGGTCCCTTGAGTGTGGCTCTTCCACAAAATACCACCGCCTGGCGAGTCTATTTTGAAGAAGTAGTATTAGAAGAAGTTTAAGCTTAAAAATTTGGCTCTCAAAAGAAATTTCAATCGTTGTACTGTTGATATTTGGCTCTGTTGACTAATGAGTTTGCCGACCACTGCCCCAGAGGTAAACACTACTTTGACCTCTATCACCATAACTTAGCTCTGCTTGCTCTTGAATTTTATAAGAATGGAGGCATACATCTATTTTTGCTCAATATTATGTCTGTGATTTCATCCATGTTATTGTGTATATCAGAAGTTCATTTTTTTCATGCTGTGTGTTAACTTGTTATATGAATATTCCACAATTTAGCCATTCTACTGTTGATGGACAATTGGATTGTTCCTAGTTTTAAACTATCAATATTATAAATAAAGCTGTTGTGAATCATTTTGTCTGTGTTGTTTAGTGAACATGTGCACGAATATCCCCAGGAGTGGAATTGTTGCATCATTGGTAGGTACATTTTAGCCTAAATACTGCCAAATGGTTTTCCAGAGTTGTTCAACCAACCTACATACCCACCTGGATTATGGGAGAGTTCCACTTATTCCATATCCTTGCTAGGTGGTTCAGTTGGTTGGAGCATCCTACCATACATCAAAAGGTTGTGTGACTACCCCCTGTTGGGGCACACACCCAGTCGGGACACACAAGTAGGCAACCGTTTGATGTTTTTCTCTCACCTTGGTGTTTATCTCCCTTCCTCTTTTTATAAATATCAACAAAAGCAGCCCTAACCAGTTTGGCTTAGTGGATAGTGTTGGCCTACAGAGTCAAGGTTAAATTGTTAAATTGGTTAAAATCAGCTGCCTTTTGCACCACCATCCCCCCTCGGTTTGTGACTGTAACTTGGTTGTAGTCACATACTGAGGGGGGGTGCAGAAGGCAGCTGATTATTGTTTCTCTCTCACCGATGTTTCTAACTCTCCCTCTCTCTTCCTCTCTGTAAAAAAAAATCAATAAAATATATATTAAAAAACAAACAAAAGCATCCTTGAGCCCAGCTGGTGTGGCTCAGTGGTTGAGCCTTGACCCATGAACCAAGAGATCACCAGTTCAGTTTCTGGGCATATGCCCAGGTTGCCAGCTCAATCCCCAGTAGAGGCATGCAGAGACAATGTATCGATGTTTCTCTCTCTGTCTCTCCCCGTCCCTTCCACTGTCTCTCATAAGCAATGGAAAAATATCCTTGGATGAGGATTAACAACCAAAAATATTGTTAAAATATATCCTCGGGGAGGATTAAAAAATAAAAGTCCTGACCATTGTTCTCAGTGGTTAGAGTTGGCCCCTGCACCAAAGAGTTGGGGGTTCATTCCTTAGTCCGGGCACATGTGGGAGGCAGCCAATTGATGTGTGTCTCTCTCATGGATGTTTCTTTCTGCCCCTCCCTCCCTTCCACTCTCTCTAAAAATCAATAGAAAAAATATCCTCGGGTGAGGATTAACAAACAAATAAAAAAGAAGCTTTCCAGCCCTGCTGGTGTGGATCAGTGGTTGAGCATCGACCTATGGACTAGGATAGGGGTGTCGAACTCAATCAGAGAAGGGTCCAAAATCTAAAATCCAGCCTAAATCGCGGGCCGAATGGTTTACTGAACAGTCATAAACTGTCATTGTGATGGAAACGCAGCGGAGTGCAGTGATGACAGCGCGGTGCGGGCCACATTGCAAGGCCTGGCGGGACGGATTTGGCCCGCGGGCCTTGTGTTTGACACATGTGGACTAGGAGGTCAGCTTGATTCCCGATCCGGGCACATTTCTAGTAGAGGTGTGTAAGACGCAGCCGGTAAATAATTCTCTCTCATTACAGATGTTTCTATCTCTCTCTCCCTCTCCCTTTCTCTCTGAAATCAATAAAAATATATATGTTTTAAAAGCCACCATCTTTTCTCTCTCTCAAACACTCACTCCTTTCCTTCCCCTTTCTTCCCTCAAAGCATGCACCTCTGCTCTCTCCTAAGCTCCAAGGGTTTGTAAGTTGTTTCCTGAGTCAACACAACCCGCTTAGCTCACTTTTTCCACGGCTCATTTCTTCTACCTCTGTGACTTTTTAAATAAACTTTTGCTTGTTTAAAAAAAAAGGAAAAAAAGGAGAAAAAAAGCCTCCTTCTACTGCTGGGGCATCTCAGCTTTTCCCAGGCACCCCAGCCTCTGCAGCCAGTGACACCTGAGGGGACTGATGAACTGATGAAACCGTGCACGTAAAGCTCTTAGTCTAGAGCTGGCTGCAAAGCAAGTGTTGGAATGTAATAACCCCTCAGTGCAGACACAAAGCTAGCTCATACAGCAGCCATGGGGTGTGAACAGGACACTGGTCTGGGATTTGGGATCCCTGGGCATTGGTCTGAGCCCTGCCACCAGCTTTGTGGGACCTGAAGCCTTGATATTTGCTATGAAGTAGAAGTTGGAAGAAATCACAGTTCCCAGCTGGAGTCCTGAAGAGGTAGTGATGATGGGCAGTTGGGGTTCTTCCCCGAGGAGGTAAAGAAGGCCTTTCCTTCTTCACAGTGGCCCCTCTGAGGCAAGCTGCTCTCACTCCTAACGAGACTTTCTTCTGGGCAGTCACTAGCATCAAATACAACTTCTCCAGCACTGGTTGGTTTGGCTCAGTGGATAGAGCGTCGGCCTGCAGACTGAAGGGTCTCAAGTGTGATTCCGATCAAGGGCACATGCCCGGGTTGTGGGCTCAATCCCTGGTAGGGGGCGTTCAAGGAGGCAACCCATCAATGATTCTCTTTCATCATTGATGTTTCTATCTCTATTCCTCCCTCTCCCATCCTCTCTGAAATCAATAAAAATATATATATTTTTTAAATACAACTTCTCCCTCTGACCATCTGTCCACATAACAACCTCACTTACGCTGCCCTGTGCCAAGGCCACATTATAGAGAGCACATATCCCTGTTCTGACACTCCCAGGTTCCATGTCCACAAATGGTGCTTCTTCTGTCCAGGAGCTTCACACTAACAAAGCAACTTCCAGTCCTGTAAATGGACCTGTGCAATGACCCTGATGGCCACTAGATGGAAAATGCTCCTCTATTATTTATGTTATGTTACGTTATGTTATGTTATCTTATGATGTTATGTTGTTATGTTATGTTATGTTATGTTATGTTACCTTATGATGTTATGTTGTTATGTTATGTTATGTTATGTTATGTTATGTTATGTTATGTTGTTATGTTATGTTATGTTATGTTATGTTATGTTATGTTATGTTATGTTATGTTATGTTATGTTATGTTGTGATGTGATGTGATGTGATGTGATGTGATGTGATGTTATTTGCTGGACAAAGTAGACCAGCCTGAGGACCTTACTGTTGGGTTTAATGCAGAAGAGACTAGGATGACTTTTCCTGAGCCCCTAAGGCCTCCTGGCCCTTCCCTCAGGACATTTCCCTCCAGAGGACACCTCTCTTTGAGAGCTCTAATTTAGTCACCTACCTGGGATCACACCTGATGTCTGGCCTACTCATCAGCCTTTATCTAACTCTTCCTTTGGGTAGCATATTTGCTCCATTCTTAGACCTTGTGGTTTTGAGAGACTGATCTCACTTCCTGGTTCATAGGTTGATGCTCAAACACTGAGTCATGCCTGCTAGGAGCATCTACATTTTTTTAAATCTTTATTGTTAAAAGTATTATAAATGTTCCCTTCTTTCCCCCATTGACTCCTTCTAGCCTGCACCCGTCCCCCGCCCCAGGCCTTCACCATACTATTGTCCATTGAATTTTTTTTTTTTAGGCTTTTAAAATAACATTTATTTATTTTTTTTAAATATATATTTTATTGGTTTTTTACAGAGAGGAAGGGAGAGGGATAGAGAGTTAGAAACATCGATCAGCTGCCTCCTGCACATTCCCTACTGGGTATGTGCCCGCAACCAATGTACATGCCCTTGACCGGAACTGAACCTGGGATCCTTCAGTCCGCAGACCGACGCTCTGTCCACCAAACCAAACCGGTTTGGGCAGCGCCATCTTCTTTAGAAACCTCCACACCACGAAGGCCAAATGGAGGGAGAATCAAATGTGCAGGCTGAAGCGCAAAAGACAAAAGATGAGGCAAAGGGGTCACTGGGCGGGGCAGGGGGCAGACTTCCAGCGATCAAGAGAAATTGAAAAAGAAAGATGAGGCAGAGGTCCAAGCAGATTGCTAGTTTGTGCGCCCATCAAAGCCACAGAAACAGAAATAGGAACGCCCGAGGCCAGGGCTGCTACTACCAATTGTTGGACTGCATTCCTGTCTGGAACTTCTTAATGGACTCAGAATAGCCATCGCCATCTCATCACTGAGACCCCCTTTTGAAAGACCCACCTTGCTTGTATAAAAACAGCCCTTTTTGGTCCTTTGTGTTGGACCTGTGATAGTCTGGACTCGTTCTGTTCTCAGCTGTGGCTGAGTGTAACGTGTACAGTAAACCCTCTCTTCCGCTC